GCACGGCCGAAATCGACTTTTGCGTATCATCATGGTCGTTTCACTCCCACGTCTTTTTGGTTGCCGAGGATCATCCAAGGACTTGAGGGTTCTTGTCGCTCCGTCTTGTTGTAAGAAGCGTGGCGCGGGCCGGCCTGTGCTAACGGGCGATTACAGACTTATTCCCGACAATTAACCGAGGTATATACTGTAATGCAAATCATGCCGACGTCAAGCATCCGAGCCTTTCATAAGCCCGTGCCATCGGTCGTGATCTCTGTCGGCGACAGCGTGCCGCTTGCGGTAGAAGCGATGCTGCCGGTAGGTTGCGTGGCGTTGACGCCGATGCAGAGAGGACGGTATCCTTCGTCTTCCGTATTGGCGTACAGATTCGTATTGCAGCTTGAGCCAAGCCATGTATTGCACTCGAAGAGGTCAGAAGTGGTGATAGAGTAGTTAGCGGTCAGAACGAGATATGGAATAGAGGCATTTATTCTCTCTTAAATCTGGATCAAGCATGTCTTATAAAATTTTGAGTCCTACAACTTATGCTATGCAAACAACTGTGTCTACTTTATTAGAATGTACAGATCAGATGCGGCTGGGGCAAGTTATTGCAAAACAAGACATTGGATGTAAGAGCGCATTTTCTGGGGGACAACGATCTCGAGTTTGATTGGTTTGACGAATATCAGAATGACAAGGTCCAGCAAGCACTGCAGCGTAACGTATGCTTGACAACCTGATGGCCACGACCTCTACTGCTCAGGAGCTGCCTCTGCCTCGGCTTCTGCATCACGAGCATAGCTACCATAATTGCCGTACTTTCCGTACTTTCCATAAGCTCCATAGTTGCCGTAGGATGCCGGAGTCGTTGCAGGAGCAGCGGTAGTTGTGGTGGTAGTGGCACGCTTCTCGAGCGCTCCAGGTACAGCTTCTGCTTCGGCATCACGGGCGTAGGAGCCATAGTTGCCGTATTTGCCATATTTGCCATAGTTGCCGTAGTTCCCGTAGGACGCGGCGGCGGCAGATGTGGTTGCGGAAGCAGCGGCGGAGGTTGCGGGTAGAGGGTTTGCTGATACTACGACTGCGAGAGCCGCGACGAGAGAAAGAGCGGAGAACTTCATGATGATAATTGTTGTAAGGAAAATGAGTCTTGAGGAGAAGTGTTTCTGGCTTGCTCGATGGGCTGGAGAAGAGGGAGTGTCTGATGGAGACGAGAGAAAGAGAGAGCAACAGTCCCTGGCTTTATATCCCTCCCAGGATCGCGAGCTTCGAGACCCGCTTCAGGGTTATTTCTGTGCTCTGCATACAAGACGTCTTTGAAGGTTGCATTCCGCTCTGGTCACAGTAAGAAGTTGAAGTTGGGCCAGTACATGTGAGCCCAAGGTCGGTTACTAGTGCGAAATGGTTTGACCCGCAAAAAGAACCTGCTGTAGCATTGCCTAAGATCGTGGCGCATTAGTCGTGAATAGGGAAGCTTGTATAATGACTTAGCTTCAAGTATAGACCGCTGCCTGGAACCGAGCGTCGGTGAGGTATCGAGGCGGGCAGCATGCGTCTCGTGTCGGTAATGCCGCCTGCACGAATTCGATAGCCCGCTCGTGAAGGCAGCGAGGTCGTATACAAGCTTGGCTCTCGCAGATATGGTGACTCAGGCGCCCTCTGGAGAGTATATGGCCTTCAGCCGCAGCGTGGAAGCTGAGCTCTGAAGGGAGGTGCAGGTAGTCCATCTGGCGAGTCGTACCGCGGGATCTCAAGTCATGATCAGTGGACTGTAGGGGTTTTCTAGAAGGTGGTGGTCAGACGTCGTGACAAGCTTCAGCTGAAACCCCGCACCCCACGCTGACAGACCTCCGCGAAACTCTTGGAGCTTATTTATAGCTTTCCCATCACGACCTCTCCGTCACACATTTGGGCAATGGTTGCTGCGTGACCACTTCGAACAATTCGCCACATGCATCTCAAAGCGTCGCCAAAGATGGACATCATCTCAGCTGCAGCCATCGAAGAGGCCTGCATGATACGACCTCATCTATCGTCTGCCGTGTGAAGACAACTTCATGCTCTCACTTCCCGCTACAATTCACAGAATCTCTCAGCATCCAGGACTCTAAGCCCACTTGTCTTCACTATGACCAGGGAAAATCACCAATACAGCAGCCTATCTTCTTCAGAAACTCTCGATGATTTCAAGGAACAACATCTGCTTACTGAACAAGCCCGACCACTCGATTTTCATCTTTCATTGTCTCGCAGAGTCATATTGTATTGCTCGGGGACGCTCCTACTTCTGCTAGGGATCGTGTTCGGTGTGTTTGCAACACTTTACGTCGCACAAAGACCGCCTTCATCCGACTATGTCAGCTTGATCACGACCAGATCACCAATCACTCCCGACGTCAGACTGTCGTTTCACGAGCAGCGATTCAACGGGTCATTGCTGAAAGAGAACGTCTATCGACAACCGGCTGGCGAAGAGGTGGATGCAGCATGGCAGGAACTCGGCATTGATTGTAAGTCTAATCGAGTCTGCTCGTATATGAAGTCATGTGCTGAGAAGTGCTCAAGATCTCAGTGTTGTCGTTCCAGCTGAAATGGCAAGCCAAGCCGGGCTTATGCAAGATCAAGTCAAGATCTCTGAAAAGTATGGAGGTGGATTCATTGCGAATGTCGAGGGCTTGCATCACCTTCACTTTTTGGTAAGCGTGATGATGATAGACGACATCCAAGAGCTCTGTTGACACAATGTCAGAATCTTCTTCGTCAGAGTTTGTGGTTCAACTTCGACCATTACCATGCAAAGGGTGAAGGCGCTTTCAAGAACAATGACTTTGTGCTCCAAAAGCACGTTAGTAAGTTTGCCGATTCGTCTCCGAATGATCACAAGCTGACAAGAGTAAAGGTCATTGCCTCGACATCATTCGACAACAATTGATGTGCAGTGTTGACATCGGAGTACTTGGACAAGTCTGGTGGCAAAGCGACAAGATGGATTATCCGGCTGCTTATGTCGATTTCAACACCCGTCACATCTGTCGCAACTTTGATGATGTTCGTGCATGGGCAGAAAAGCACCAGGTTCTAGCAGAGCCCCCGGAAGACTACCTGGAACCACCAAAGCCTGGCGACAAGATCTATGATAGTTTGCCATGAGTTTATGGGTTGTTCAACATTTCAAAAGCTATGGAATGGTTACAACTCATTCAAAACTGCATACGTGAAGCTCAAGCATAAAATTACAAGCATGAAGTTCAAGCCTTCTTGATCAACCTTCCCATTACATGCGGTAATGCTTGGAAAGGTCCATCTTTTGGGTCTGGTCTGAGATCAATCTCATCATATTCTCCTGCTTTCTTGAGAGCCTGTTCAGTATCTCGGAGCAAATGACAACCATCGAGAAGATGGTCCCAAACGGTGTTATTGGCTGCTGCATCTAACATAAGTAATTATTTGATGAAACAGCTCAGCTTCAGTGACATACTCTGCCATACTTTCGCAATTGGATGTCTGGCTGCTACATGCTCGTACACGAGCCATTGTCCACCCGGCTTGAGGTAGTCGTAGAGATCCTTCACTACCAAGTCCAGCTGAGGGCCGACGCTGCATAACACATGCACAGTGATGATTGTATCGATGCTGCCTTTCTTGACACCATACTCCTCGAGCTCGTGAGAGTAGGCTGGTAGTGGCTGATAGACATCTTCCATCCCATTCTTCTTGCTTGCAGTTTTGAGTTGAGTATGGAATGTGACATTTGGCTCAACTCCGTAAATCCTGGTGATCTTACCTTCTTTGACAGCGGGTACAAAGTCTTGCATCCATATTCCACTTGCAGGTCCAAGTTCAAGAACTACGCCTCGTGCTTGAGCTAGAAGTGGTTGCACGTCAGGCGCGAAAAACGGGTTTGTTCCGGGACCGAACCACCACCAAAAGTGCTTGAACCAGGATTGTTTCAAGCTTCTCACGCAAGTCAGGTCTTCCAAGCGACCTGTAAGTAAGAGTGAAGTGATTGTGAATGCAAGTGTGGCCGCTGACGTTAGAAGCACGATAGGTGGGAGAATCAGATCTAATGGTCCGAGCATGGCGATGTTATTGTTATGTAGCAATCACTATTGTCTGCGGCTGGTCTTGAAAGGGCTCGGTTGGCTCAGAGCAGGCACCTTTATCTTGGATAGTATGGTGGTGTGACACGTTGTACGAACCAGTTACTAAGCGGAGAAACTTTTGGGGCGTTAGATGTCGCACCACACAAAGCAGCTACTAACTTTGTCTCGACTGTTCTTCGACAAGACCCAATCTGACGGTAGTCACTCGCCAAAAATATTGGACCTTGGTTTTCGGTAAGCAAGAAATTCCACGGGCTTGTTAGACACCTTATAAGTTTTAGGTTAACTATAAGAAAGTAGCCGTGTTTCCGAATACAAAAGTAAAAGAGGTTTCTTATAGCATATATAAAGCTATGAGAGATATATTCGCTAGTTAGCTCTATAGAAATCTAGGCCATTTCCATCAAGGTACGTAGGTACAATGATCTTGTAGGTTAAGCTGCAGAGGTGGCATGGTTAATGATCGGGAGAGTTGAACATTGAATACTTCTTGCCGAGGGTCAGCGCTAGCCTCTTTGGGAACCTTGCTGTATACAAAGGTCAAGTTCCATGAGAAAGCGGCACGATAGAGAAAGTCATCATGCCAGTCACTGCGACTGGAAAGTATTGGAAACATGTGGAAGCTGAAATTTGGTCATGAGATACGAGCTCGAATGCCCCCATTTCGCTGTTCAGGTACCACTTTCCCGTACTAGCTATTGACGCTATTGACGTACAAAACATTGGCAAGGATACAGTCTTGGATGGTATATTGCCTTCTCTGATCGTCAGTCCAATGAAAGATGACCACGAGCTAACATGACCAAGTACTTCGACAACGACTAGTAGGTCTATCCAACAATAAATTCTTAAACCTTGTAGAGAGTTACCCCTCGTTGCGATATAAGAAGCCAGTGTCCGTAGGCCTAAATCATGCTTTGCAATCCAATGGTCCTCGCTGACATGCATCTATCAATTATACTTTGGTCTCTGGTCGTTTTCCCCGTGTTTGTCTGTGCATCAGACCATGCAGCTTCCTTCGAATGGTCAGAATGGGGTGCCAATGTCCTAAACAATCGCTGGAGCCAGAGCAAATCAGCGATTGATTCTTTCAATGCTGGAAACCTCAAGGAAAGCTGTGTCCTCCAATATTTTAAAGGTGTCAGTGCACCCCCAGCCATCTCTGGTGGTATAGCATACTTTCCAACTTGGGATTGCCAGTTCGTGGCCCTTGATTACGAAAATTGTCAAGTTCTCTGGAACATAAGTGTCGTGGACATCGTTACAGGTTTTGCGCCGTTGACGGCTCTGCAAACAACTCTCACTGCAGCGGTCTCCAGGTCCACTCCTCAAATCGATGGCTCCATACTTTACTTCACCACACTGGCACATGCTCTTCTCGTCGCCATAGACTATCGTACAGGTGCCCTGCTTGCGGTCATGCAAATCAATCCTCACGAACTTGCAACCCTTACCATGAGCCCGACGTTCTATAAGGGCAAGATTTTTGTCGGTTCGTCGAGTCAGGAAGAAGCTGCGGCGGGGTTGGTTCCAGGATATTCATGCTGTTCTTTGGTCGGGAACATGGCTGCCATAGAGTTCAACAAAGGCACACGAAACTTCAATGTGATATGGAATGTTAGCATGATCTTAGAAGGGCCAACCGTTCCTGGATGGTCCGGAGTCGGGGTCTGGGGTAGCCAACTCTCGATAGATGAGTCTCGCTCGCAGGTCTTTGTGACCACAGGAAATGTTTGCAGTGTGCCGCTGGAGTATGAGTCCTGCCTCACCGACTCCGGAAGTAACAATCAATCATGCCTCCCCAATGGTGTGCTGCAAGAAGCTGTCATTGCTTTCAATATCGATACTGGTGCCATCAGATGGCTGCGCATTGTTTCTCCACTGGATGCTTGGACTTTGGCCTGTGGTCTCGCCACAGGAGGTACATCTGTCCTGCACAACCCGGCTATTTGTCCTGGTACGCCGGGTCCTGACGCCGACTTTGGCATGGCCCCAACATTTGTTCCTGGCTCGAAATGGACACCAAACGGATAAGACACAGTGGTCATAGGTCAGAAGAACGGCATAATCCATGCTTTCTGCGCGCAAAACGGCACGTCACTCTGGTCGAGCACGACCAGTCCCGATGGAGTCGAAGGAGGTCTTATCTGGGAAATAGCGGTCGACAACAAACGAGTGTTCTTCACGGCAGTGAATAGTGACTTTGAAACATGGGAACTACCGCGATCAAATCGAACCATTGACAACTCTGCATTTGGGGCTGTTTCCTGGCTTAATGGTTCCATTCTCTGGGAAACTCAATCGCCTTTCGACTCGATTTCGTTTGTCCATCCCTCTATCGTTAACGACGTTCTTTTCACCGGCCGCACAGGAAGTAATAAGACTGGAGCTTACGACCTTATTCAAGGGGACTTATTGCGATCGACAAACACACTGGCAAGATAATCAAGGACTATCCACTCGAGGTCAACTTCCACGGTAGAATCGCCATCCAGAAGAATTATGTTATGTTTGGAACTGGCTACAACAACTTCCAGGGTGTTGGTGGGTTTTATGTCTATACCTTGTGATCCACTGACTTTACAACCTTGAACGGAGGATGGTCCGTGTGAAATAACGATCGAAAATATTTCGGTTTTCGTTTCGTCCCTTGTTCTCTTGGGTTGTTGATTTTATACTCAAACATGCGAAACAAGCCTGTCAACCTGGGAGGTGTTGTTAACGTGGCAATGGAGCATAGTTTGCAGGGGGTGCGAGGTCAAGCTTGGAGCTGTGAGAAGGGTGGATACGAATCTCAATGGAGATTGCTGGTAGATAAGGTGCTACGGCAGGCTAGGATCAGGTGATCAGACAAGCCTGCATATCGACATGTATGAATGATTCGCTTACAAGGCTTCGCTTGCATATTCCTTATCTATCCGCCGCTGATTAGATGACGCTTAGAGAAGCTGCATAACCCCCACCTCCCCGACTATACTTCGCTGTCTCCACAAAGTCGATCAAGCCATTGCCTAACAACGGCTCCTGAATCTTCATTTTCGAGACATGACAGAGACAAACGAGACAACAAGCCTTCTGACAGCGCACGAATGCGAAAACGGAAGGGTCGAGAGTCACCGCCATGGAACATCACATGCTGATAGCAACTCTGACCAACCTGTCCACTCCGAGAAAACTACCGTAGTACTTTGCGGTCTCTTCATCATCCTATTCCAGTTTGCGGATATTCTCAGATTTGCTCCTTCCTTGCACCTTCTCGAGCTAGGTTATTGCAGGGATTACTACCATGAGCACGACCCACGGTTGATCGATCCTGTCGGACAAATTCCTGAACGCTTTTGCAAAGTGCGAGAAATCCAGGAAGATCTTTCGTCTATTAGAGCATGGCTTGGCTTCGTGGAAGGACTTGTTGGTAGGTCTTGATCTATATTGTCGCGACGAACGCACTATTGATTGTCCACGCANGGTCTTGTGTTAGTAATACCTTACGGAATGTTGAGTGAGAGAATTGGAGGACGATTCGTCGCGGCGTTGAATCTTTTTGGTTATGCCCTCTCAAGCGTATGGATCATCGTTNNGTTTGTGAGTTAACCGAAACATCTCGTTGTGTCAGATTTTGCCCAAGATGCTCATTGTTTCGAAGGTTTCTTCTGGAAAACTTTCCCTATCGATGCGATTGTGATATCACCAATGCTAAGGGCAGTGGGCGGTGGAGCGCCTGTAGCCTCCGCTGTCATACTAGCCATCGTGGCTAGTGCAGTACCTGCGTCAAAGAGGTCAGTACTACAGTCTGTCTAGCACTGTCCACGGCTCACAATCAGTGTANNTAGATCCAGCGCCTTCTTTCTGATGGGAGCGGCCGAACTTGTCACAGAGATGATAATGCCCTTGGTCAGCACTGCTTTTCTTAGCAACGGGTTTGTCTATACACCTATCTTGTTAGGTTTTGTCTTCGAGGGTCTGGCTCTCCTTGCAATCTATCATGTCCCAGTCGACACATGCATAGCGCATTCAGGAGAGCGATTACCCACCAATGCGCAGCGGAATGATGGTCAGCATGCGTCGCAAACCAGCTTCGCGGACGTCAAGAGCGATAGGCTCAAGTATCTGACTGGCGTTTGGCGAGAGGGAGGTATTATGACCGATGCAAAACTCGTAACTCTTCTTGGATGTTTCGCGTTGGTCAAAGTCGGGCGACAGGTGCTCGAGATGCTTGTGCAGTACATTTCTAGGCGATATGGATGGACTTTTGCACAGGCAAGTCCTTTCCCACACATCGTATGGATCAAACTGATGGCTGTAGGCCAACATCGCATTCTCCGTCCGAGCGACTGGAAGTCTGCTCTTGTTTTTGTTCATCCTACCGACCTCGAAGCAGATCCTCCAGGACGTGCTGCACTTCCATACAGACCGCGTTGATTTCCTTCTTGCGGTGACAAGCAACGTATGTCTGATCACAGGCTCTCTTTGCATGGGCCTTGCTCGCACTGTCTCAGTTTTCTTCCTCGGTAAGCGGTCTCATTCGTAACATGATAAAATGTCAAATCCTGGCATTGACTGTGTGTAGGGCTGGTCATCTTTACTCTTGGGAGCGGTTTTCGGCTCAATCTGCAATCCTTACTGAGTTCCTTCGTTGATCGAAGGTATCTGACCCGGTTATATACGATTATCGCTCTTTTCGATGGAGTGGGATCTGTTGTGTGGGCTTTACTTATCAACGGCAGCTTGAAGCATGGCATTCACAGGGGAGCTGCATGGATTGGTCTTCCATTCTTCATCGCGACTGCGGCATATTCAGCTTCGATGATCGGACTATTCGTAATCCGCAACAGACGGATACTGTAGACGAGAACAAAGCTTGCAAGGATATGTATATCGCTTAGGCGACACTACACATTGTTCATCTTAAACAATCAAACCTTGGTCTCGATCATGGAGTCTGCGACAATAGTTGCGCGAACATGCTAAAATCTCGTTTGATGCCCTCGACCGAATCACAAATGACCAGACGATTTATTTCGGCTTCGGCGACGCCCCTTGGTCCTCTGAACGTTATCACATGAACAATGCCGTCAAGCTATGGGGTGTCACGTACAGAACCCGTGCCAATTTCGGACCCCCGCTCAGGTAGTTCGGCTTCTTTGATGGATATGACCTAGAAGTTCTCGACAAGGTCAAAGGTATATTCCCCCAATATGCTTGTTGACACGAAGCAGAATTCTGTGACTAACGCGGACACAGAAAGATTCCAAGGTGTCATTGACGCACCGGATGAGGGTGATTTCTGGCGAAGGGAAACCAATTGGGTTATTTGTATGCAGACGCAGACACAGACGCCATTTGTGAAAGCAAATCTGGTCAAGGATTGGGTAGACCTTTATCCAGAGGATGTAGGAAAGACACGCATTGAAGACTGTACATCTCTCCACTATCCCTGATTCGAACAGTGCTGAACAGACACAGATTACGCTGGATCAATCTTCTACTACCCCGATGCCGGTTAGTCCCTCATCTGGATTCTCGAAGAAGGAACTGGAGATCTGCTGGATGGCCGTAGACGTGTTGCGATCGGGAGAGAGAGCAATCAAGGTGTCTGTCAAGCCAGCACCCAGGAGTTTGTGTTGGTCCCTGAGCCCTCGCCTCTTGACCATTGGCTAGCGCTCTGACCCAAGTTCTACGATCTCTATACGACGATCGTCTCTTCTCTTCCAGAAAGCGCCTCGGAACCTCAGAAAAATCTAACTCAAGCTGTAGCTCTGCTACACGAGCGTGAGTTTCTTTGTTTCTCGTAAGGCTGTCATTGCCTGCTAATCTACACCATTTAGTTATGCACTTTCGCTATCCTGAAGATGGTATGTGACTGGCTTCCACATGTTACCTGATCCATCTAATTTTTCAAACGCAGTGATTGACGTGGAGGATTCGCTCGCCGATATGGGCGGTAGGCGAGGCAAATTCTACGGCTTCTATAACTGCACCTTGTTAGCTGGAGCAGTTGGGGAGGAAGTCCCGAGAAGGCTTTGATGAATGCTGACAATTATGCGATGTGGGCTCTTACAGCCGCCTTGCCAGACCACAAGTGGTGATCAAGGACGCCAGGACATTCATCACATAGCAGGAAGTATGGTAGGGGTTCGCGGCACATTATTGCAATGGTTGAACCGGTTCATCTGACTTGGATTTGCAGCCCTCTCATAATCATCATGGTTCATGCGACTCAGCTGTCTTGGATGTGTGTTTCCACATTTGTTCTCGTTGGCCGATGGTACCTTGTGCGGTACCTATCTGGAACTGCGGTTCGGTGTCTGCAACCCAGATTTCATCATCCCGCATACCTGCGCTGAGCTCCCTTAATGACTGAAGGTTGCCTGCAAGCACACCCCATGATGTATTGAGACTGCCCACAGAGACGTTGAAGAATGTTTGAGAGCCATCATCTAGGCTTTCGTCGACATACACTGCGCTTCGGGTGGTCAGAGGAACTGCGAGAGCGTAAGGAATGATTGTTATGGGCTAGTTCAACCAAATCTACACACGGCGTGGAACGTTGACATCAGCATGAAGACTCTCTTCAAGGATTCATCTTCGGACATCAAGCTGATCGGGTCGTCTCTCGAATCTCTCTGTCTGTCTCTGATTCGTTGCTCACTCCAACCGACCATGAATGATTTGCAAGAATGGACTCGAACACACGCCCAACAGGTCTGGAGGTCTTCGAAGCAGAAGCCCGACATGGAAACAGACAACAACAAAGCCGACGGATTCATTTCCTTACTGCGGCCGGAGCGGCCAGCAGAGTCGTTTGGGCTGGATAATACATTTTTCACGGTACTTCGTTCGGGCTAACGTTCAAAGGCAATGGTGAAAGTTTGAGTATCGGAATGGACTGTCCAAATTCGCTCCTTGCAGGCCGAGCCTCGAACAGTCTGCTCCAAGGCGATGACAGAAAAGCTGTGGAGAAGCAGGCCCGAGGCTCGCACGACAAGGATGGCGAGGTTGAAATGAGTTCGGGTAAGTAATCTTGTGTTTTAACGAGATGAGAGTTCGACAAAGCAGTATTATGCGATGAAGTTGCTGCAAGATCTGCTGCTGAAAAGTGTGCGTGGATCTGTGGCCCCACATCTTTTCTCAACCATACAATTCCGACGTAGCCTTAACACATTTGCATCATGGAACACAGTAAGATATGACGTCCACTTAAGCACGAACAGCATGTGCAAATCAAGAGAATGGGTGCTTGCAGTCTCTGACAGGGACTTCATGAGTTCACGCATCCTCTCAGATTTGGAACTACATCCCGTCTTCGGATTTTGCCAAAGATGATGTTGCTCGACCAAAACATTTCTCCTTTGCAACTCACAATCGAAGTTATCGGCATCTTCGTTTTGTATCATCTGCTCAACTTCATCGTCATCTCGATCACAGCCCGGCAATATGCTCGCAGCCAAGGTTGTGGAGCTTCACCACTATATCCAACAAAGATGTTTGGCTTTTCAGCTCTCTTCGAAGTTCTGGCAGCCAGCAAAGCCCATAGACTTCTATAGGCCAACCAACAACGCTTTACATAGATGAACACAAAGACGTTCTCCATGGTCAATACGGGAAGAACCTCAGTCTACACCATAGAGCCCGAGAACATCAAAGCTATACGTCTTCCAAGCTCTGGAGAGATAGCAAAGAGGAGAAAAGTCTACTCGCCACACATTCTTGGATGAGCCTGTACAGCAGACCAGCGATGTTGTGACGATCCGATCAGAACTCTTGAACGTTCTGCTTGCTGGTCGCGACACGACTGCAAGTCTTTTGACCAACACCTGGCACGTCCTGTCTTACCGACCCGATATCGTCGCCCGATTGCGCGAAGAGATAGCATCTAATCTACCGTCTGATGGAACTCTGCCAACTTTCGAAGCCTTGAAAGGGCTTTCATATCTATCTGCAGTCTTCAAGAAAGCGCTTCGACTATATCCGGTCGTCCGCCTCAACAGTCGCGAAGCTGCATTCTCCACGACTTTGTCCAAGGGAGGGGGACCTCATGGCTCGGAGCCAATCTTCATCGCCAAAGGCGAGATTGTCATCTACTCCACGTATGCAATGCATCGAGATGTCGAGATCTTTGGTGATGATGCAGATACATGTCGTCCTACACGATGGCTTGACGATGATCACATCAGGGGTTCGACCAGGTTGGGCATATATACCTTTCAATGCGGGATCCCGGATATGTTTGGGACAGCAGCTTGCCCTGGCTGAAGCAAGCTACGTGACAGTACAACTGTTGCAAGAATTTACTTCTATTGAAGCCAAGGATGACAGAGCATGGACGGAAAGCCTCGGTCTGACATGTGTCAACAAGTACGGCGCCAAGGTAGCGCTCTCCAACAATGAATCTTCGAAGGAAACATCGTTGTCTATGATTCCTGAGAGAGCAGAGCAGGATTTCTACGATATATACGCATAGAATTCACAAAGCGAGAATCTAATCTTGTCTTCTTCCACGTCCTTCTAAGATATCATCTACTTTCTAGATGAAAATCCATCTTGCTGATAAAGTTTGACAAAGCCTTGCGTTTGGTCAACGAAGCCGACGAGATTGAGCGGCAGCTTCAAAAAGACAATCACGAGATCTGGAGCTGGGCGAATTCTATGTCTACGAGTCACCAGCATAGTACGATGGAGTTGACATGATGGAGAGCCTCGACCATCGGAGGATGTACTAAGCACAGGATGTGTGAACCTGGTCCGTTCAAAGATGCTGGGAGGCAGTCGAGCTAAATTCGAAACCGAGAATACTGAGCTGGCTCGTTGTCGTTGTATGCGTGTTATGTATCAAGATCTCAGACCCACTTGGTACAACCTCTCCCGTAGGCAAGGCTCTTGGCTCACGGAATATCGAGAACCGCCTCAGATCGCGACACCTTGAGTAGTTCGGACGGTGTGTGATTGTGATGAGTCAGCAAATGGTGAGCTTGGATTTGATGTTTGAAGCTTATGTGTATGGTATACGGATGGAGGAAGGTTCGAGAAATGTCATTGGAACTCGAGAGTCTAGGATATGTGACTTTCGGACTGAGCAGCAGCAAGCAGATGGAAAGATCAAAAGGAACCAATGACTTCCATTGTTATGGCTGGAGACGAAACAGTCTATGAAACATGGACACCATGTTGTACCTCGACCTTGGAGTTTGATGCATCCGTCATAATATCTTTCCTCAAGTCTTGTGGACGTTCACCAAGTATCAAGCATCGAGCACTCTACCAAGCTCCTTCTTCTGTTGCCAAACCTTCTTGAAAACCTGTGAAGCTGCCCAAGAAACATCCACCTCTCGTATGATTCAGGACGACAGGACATCTTGATCTCTGTGCGAGAACTAGATTGACATGGGCGACCGTAAGTTGCTGTCGAGTGGCAGCAGGGCCTCGGGCCACGGGAAGGGCAACGGCATGCGGAGGAATATAACCAGCAACAGGACGGCCAGGATGAACGACAGGAGCGACAGGAGCGCCAGGACGAGCAGCGGGAGGAGGGGCTACAGGAGCATTTCGAGCGACATTGCGAACGGCAGGGATAGCTTCGGCAGCAACAGGTGCAGGTGCGATATGGCGAGCGACGGGATCTTGAGCGACGGGGCTTGAGCGACAGCAGCGGGTGCGACAGGATCGTCCCAAGCAGCAGGGCGAGCGATCGGTTGAGCGGGGACAGCGAAGTGAGCGAAGTTCTCGCGTCTTCGGGAACCATAGGAGGCGCAGCAGGGACAGCCTCGGCGGCGGCGACATCAGGGTCTCAAAGCACCAGGTGGGGGTCTGTAGAGTCGATAGCGAGGGTCGCGGGCGAAGATTTGTTCGGCTCTTTCTTGAAGGCGATTCTCGTCCCATTGAGGGCAGTCACACGATCGTGGGATCCAGGAAGCTCCGCAGACATAGCAGAAATGGGCACCGCATGGGCAACTGCTATGTGTCAGAGGTTGGACTATCGCTGACGGCCAAGATGAAAACTCACGTGATGTGGTTGCAACCCGAACGAAGGTCGACGACGCGGTGATACTGGTAACGGCGCTGCTATCCTTGACCTGCAGCGGCCTGGAGGAGCTGCTGAAGGTTTTCGTCGCGAGGACAATCACCGCGATGAGCAGCAGCTTTGCAAGTTGCGCAAGTCCCCTTTCCGCAGTCGAGACAGCCAGCGACATCATCGGCGATACGCTGTGTGGGGATGAATGCCGAACAGCGAGGATCAAAGCAGTAGGTCCTGTCCTGGGTGTCGAGCTCGATGGACTTCTTCTCGAAATCCCTGACAAGCTTGGGGTGAAGCACAAGCTTGGCGTCATCCAGAGGAATTGCCTGACGACAGCAGCGAGGTGGATACATTGTCTCATCAACCATTGAGTCACGGAAGAGGACGGTCAGACATTCGACGCAGTAGCGATGACCACAGGAGGCCTCCAGGATATCAAACCAAGGCAACTGATCTGTGCAGGCCACGCAGGTGATTGAGAGTCCGTAGTGGTCGTGTTCCTGCTCATCATCGGAGCCGGGACCAGGTTGCTCGCCCGCGTGGATGTCGCCGCTTGAAGGAAGTCCTTGGGCTAGCTCGCGGTCCCTTGTAGCCTGCTGTTTAGCGAAGATCTCGCCGGCCAAGATTTCTCGATCGTTGAAGACTGCGCGCGAAACACTCTGAGCGATTGTGTGATCATTGTGAGCAGTTTCGACGAGGTTGAGCTCCTGCAGCTGCAATTGCAGAGCAACATTATCGTCTGCATCCTTCTGGGAGAGAGCTGCTTCGATGTCGTCACGCTGTAGCTACAGAATGAGAGCAGCCGTTTCGGTGTCAATGGACCGGTGGAGATGAGCCATGATGGGGCAGGCCTGGTGACGAAAAGAGAAAAGAAAACAGTGGCAGAGGGGCAAAGAGCAGACAACGGAAGCTGGAAAGGGAGGAGAATCAATTAAGCTGAGTGAGAGCGCGAGATGAGCCGAGAGAGTGACAAGCACGGCGGAACATCACAATGGCAAAACGAACAAACGGTGATAGCAGCTTTGGTTATTGGCGAATAAGTGAAAAGTACGATGACAAGTCAACAATGAGTCCCAGCCTGACGCGACCGCCTACATGGCTACCTTTGATCTACATGGTTCGCTGGAAGACATATGATACACAATATAATGACTCATCGCTGGTGTTGAGAAAGAATGAGTGCGAGTGTGGAAGAAGTCAGGAGCAAGATTCGAGGATGGCGGAAGTATCAAACGGCGGAGTGGGGAGAGAGGCCGCCGGGCAGTGGACGGAGAAGCAAAAGCGCTGCTATTCCCGGGTACAAGCGAGTTGATGATGGAGGAGGACAGGCAGATCTTTCATGAATGGAAAAGTGTACTTGTGCCCTTTTGAAGCACAGGGCGAATACAGCTTGCCAACGTTCCCTGAGGATAAGCTCGAGCAAAGATGGGCTTTGACATTACCTTTTGGTGTCATGCTCAGGTTAAGAATGTATCAGAGGCTTTCACATGCTACCTGGAGACACATCCGGCCATTACCTCGATCACGCTCGTCCTCCTCTACTTGTTGTTCCTGATTGGGGGCGGACTCCCCTTGGGCGGCGTTCTCTTTGCAGTCGTCCCGGGAGACTCGTGCGGGATATGAAGAATCCCGTCTTCAAGACACTGCGACCGAGTCCAAGCGACGCACGAGTTCAAGCACAGAGCGCGGCTGCTGGAGTTGGTCAATCTGGCACGCTAGAGTCGGGTTTCTCAAGCGGATTTGGCCAGCTGCGATCAGGAACTGGTGACAAAGGCTTGACAAAGACGTCATGGTCTATGTGTATCGGCGTCTCAAGACGGAGAAGCGTGTCTGAGCTATTGTGCCAGCGGATGTATACGGAGAGGACTCTGGCGAGGGCGGCATATCGGGCGGCTGGTCAGCGTGCGGTACGAGGTGTCGTACAGCCTAGCTGTTGGTATGCTCTTGTGTTGCACAGGGCGTGTTTCGTGTGATCGTTCTTGGTAGAGAGTTGCATGGAGAAGATCAACCCAAACTAGCTCTTTTGCCCTGAATAGACGGCGTATTCGGGTTGCGTAGAAGCCTCGGAAGAAACAATTTCGGCGAAGGCGCCAAGCGGTGGAGGGAGGCCGGGGCGGAGGGCGGAGGGCGGAAGAGAGCTTGGACCCCTAATGCGGCATCATCGTCACATGGATGGAAGGTGCATCTGATCAGATTGAAACATTGCACCTGCCATCTGTTTGGCGCAAAAGTCGCAAAGAGGAGGAAGAATGAAGCGGTAACGAGCTGCAGGTCGACAATGCAGGCGATTCTCCCCGGACGGCCGCAAGCGCAACTGCAGGCCGTGTCGACAGGAGTGTTTGAAGGGCAGACGGTCATTTGCTACATCTCGGGCAGCGCCCTCATCATCTGCAACGGACCCGACTCGCTCCTCCAGACCATCTACCATGACGACCTTCTTCCGCCGTCTGCGCTTGTCGCCGTTTCATACGACCACCGCAGCGCAAAGATTGCGACGGCCTCCAACGACAATGTATACATCTACGTCTTGCGCGAGGAGATCAAGGGCCAGTTGCGCTGGTTCCTCGACATGACCTTCGATGTCTCCTCCACAAGCAGCATACAGACCTTGTCTTGGGGCACCGACGACGAGCTGCTGGTCGCCTCGGACAAGGTCCTGCTCCTCTCCACCCAAGACCACACAACCCGCTGGACTCGTTCCCTGCCCTCGCCCGTGTCGCACGCCACTTTCTCGCCGTCCGCAGCGCTCCTCGCTACTACATCCCGACACGACCGACTCGTCAAGGTCTGGCGCCGCCTCTCGTTCGAATCCGCCATCTTCGACTACGCCTACCTCTCCCACCCAGACATCATCACCCACGTCGAATGGAGAACCGACTCGGCCGACGAAGATGCCCTGTACACCATCTGCCTCGATGGCAAGCTACGAGTGTGGAAGACTGGCTTGCCGCGCCAGACCGACGTCCTTGGTCTCTACGCTGAACTCGATCTCATCAAGGCCGTCCGCCCACTCGTCCCCTCGAACCGTCGCTATGCCTTCCTCGTACCATCTACCATCTTTTCTGATGCCGTTGCGCATGCCACCAGCACGCCAACTCTCCCCGCCGAGCGACACGCTGTCGAGTACATGAAAGAGCTTGCGAACAGACACCCAGACATTGTTGTCGTGACGGACGATCAAGGACACATGAGCGCTTGGGGGCTGGAGAATGTCGGCTGCAAGAAGAGGACGAGCATCTCTGACCACGCCGACTTCTTCCATGCCACGCACATCGAGAATCTCTTCTTCGACTTTTCCAAGCACGCACACGTCTCCGAAGACAATGCCCGCATCATCAACTTTGCTCTGCCTGGACAGCCTGGCGACATTGCNCTCTTGGTTCACCACTTCGACGGTCGCCTACAGTGGTACCAAGGCAGTGTGCACCACGTCTTCGATCCCTCTGCGCGGAAACAGCGTATGCGCAACTTGGCTTCTTGGACTGGCCACTCCTCCTCGATCAAGAAGCTCATCCGCACCGCCAACGGGTCAGCCGTCATATCGCGCACCGACACGGATGAAGGAGTTGTTTGGAAGCATCGTGGCAAGTTCCTGGTCAGAAAGAGCAAGACAAAACTGCACGAACACATTCATCGCACCGCTCTGCTGGAAGACGGTGACTTTGTCGTCCTCTTGCACCACGAAAGTATTTCTCTGTGGGATGCTCGTCTGCCCAATGCAAAAGAGATTGGCCGCTGCACGTATTCGGTGTCTGGCAAGCCACTCTGTCTCCTCTCGCTCCCTGCTCCCGAAGATGCTGGCCACCTGTCCTACCTCGCCACAGTCACCGCAGATATGCACGGTGTCGTGTGGGAGCTTGATCTGGCCTTGTCCTCACCAACGATAACTGAGTTTTGTACCTTCCAGCTCGATCACATTGAGAGCATGTCCTACTTCTTGCCTGTCGACCCCGCAGGCAGCTCGCCTATCGTCTCCGGTCTCTTTGACACATTTGCTCAAGATGTCGCTGTATCGTGGACGACCACTGGTATCCTTCAGACTTGGACTGCCAAGGTTGACCGGCAGAAGAAGTCTGTGACCTGGCTGAACATTTCCACCACCGACACCAGCATACAGGAACCTTCGCTCGGAAGCGGCACTTCTATACGCAAAGCTGCCTTGGTTGACAAGTCCCGCTCCACTCTAACCATCTGGGATACCAAAAGCGGACGACTCGACTACGAAGAGACTTTCGAGAACCAGACAATCCAGGATCTCGACTGGGCTTCAACCCCTGACAACCAATCCATCCTTGCCGTTGGCTTCCCTCACGCTGTATTTGTCTATACCCAGCTTCGCTACGACTACGTGACCGAACGCCCTTCGTGGAGTCGCATCAAACAAATCAATGTTCGCCATCTCTCNCCTCATCCAATTGGAGACTCAGTCTGGCTGAGCTCCGGAAATCTGGTCATCGGTGCCGGCAACCAGCTTTATCTTGCTGGTAATGAGGTCGAGCCGCAAAAGGATCTTTCGCCAGACTTGCAGAGCTCGACTCCTCACAAGTCGTCTACTCGCATCCAAGACGTTGTCCGCAGACTTAACGGACCACTGCCTGTATTCCATCCACAGTTCATATCACAGTGCATACTCGCCGGCAAGATGGACATTGTTCACCGCATTTTACTCAACCTTCAAAAGACACTCAAGTTCTACACTGAGGGTGATGACCTTGACTCGTTCCAGGGCCTCGACATCGAAAGCTTCATGTCATCTGCTGAGGTATGCTTTTCTATCATACTCAATGGACTCTACTTACTCTCAAGCAGNAAATACTCGAACTCCAGCAAGCAACTGCACAAGTCATACAGCACCCTCGACATGGAAGAAGAGTCGACCACCGTCACCGAGGAAGTTGCCTCCTCGCTAGTCTCCCTGCTTTCTGAGAAACCGATACCTCAACTGTCGAGTACCGAACAGCTCAGTCTCGCCGACATCATCGAATGCGTCGGTATGGCAGAGAAGCATCGACGCTCAATCGACGACAACGCCGCTCGCTATCTGCTCTTCTGGCGAGAAACTGTCATGCGATCACGACAGTCATCTTCCTCCGCCGCAGTCACTTGGCGTGAGATGCTCTGGGCATATCACAGCAGTAGTCAGGATATCCTTGTTGACATTGTCACCCGCCAAAACAAGGGACAGATGACATGGTCCCACGCTCGGAATACTGGGGTCTTTGTCTGGCTTACCGATAGGAAAGCACTTCTCCAACAGTTCGAGGCCGTCGCGAGAAATGCATACACAAGCACCGAATTGCGCGACCCTGTCAACTGCTCCTTGCATTACCTCGCGCTACGGAAGAAGAATGTTCTGACAGGCCTGTGGCGCATGGCTACCTGGTCGAGAGAGCAAGCTGCTACAATGCGTCTCTTGAAGAACGACTTCTCTGACCCTCGATGGCGTACTGCTGCAAACAAGAATGCATATGCGCTGATGGGTAAGAGGCGATTCGAGTACGCTGCTGCCTTCTTCCTTCTTGCCGACAACCTTGACTCTGCTGTCTCGGTGCTCAGCAACCAGCTGGGCGACATCCAGTTGGCAATTGCTGTTGCTCGTGTCTACGGTGGAGACGACTCGCCCTCACTCAAGAAGTTCTTGAATGAACGAGTGCTGCCCAATGCTGCTCTCGAGGGCAACCGCTGCCAGGCAACATGGACATACTGGATGCTCGGCGAACGATCTCTTGCTGTGCGTGCCCTCGTCAGTCCCTTACATTCATTGCTCGTGCCGCCAGGCTCGCCACCGGATTCGCTCAAAGCCAAGAGTTTCCGCAATGATGATCCTGCACTTGTTGTCCTGTACCAGCAACTGCGAGAAAAGAGTTTGCAGACCTTGAGAGGAGCTTTGATGATCAGCGGCAAGGAAGAATGGGAATTCATCACCAAGACTGCGACACTGCTCTTGCGCATGGGTTGCGACATTCTTGCTCTGGACTTGGTGCGACACTGGGAGTTCTTGCAGCCACCACCTGTCGCGAAACAAAAGGAGGAAGAAGACGCTGAGGAATCCGTCGCCGAACTCCCGCGTCGCAAGTTGTCAAGGACTACAACAGGAGACTTCGACCCAAGGAAACTGTTACGCCGAAGAAGCAGTCTTGTCGTTGCCGACCTACCTGAAGGTAGGCCCGTCATTCAGGAGTCTACTGCACCCTCTATGCTTTACGGATGGGGTGCACCATCGCCACAATTTAACCAGTCTGCCTCTCTACTAGATCACTGGACTGCGCCTACACCCCTGCACCTAAACCTGCACCTTCGATGCTGGAACAATGGTCTATGCCTGAGAGACCCAAGCAGCAAGCAAATCCCGCGCCCTCTATGCTTGACGATTGGGCTGTACCATCTCAACCTGTCTCCAAGCCTGCGCCTTCACTCCTCGATGATTGGACTGCACCATCAGCGAAACCCAAAGCAGCCAAATCCCAATCAGAAGCACCAGCGCCGTCGATGCTTGACAGTTGGACTCCAGCACTTAAGCCAGCATCTAAGCCTGCACCTTCGCTTCTTGATGACTGGACTGTACCAGCTGCAAAGCCGAAGGTGGAGGAGGTCAAAGACAAGTCCTCGGCACCATCGATGCTTGATCAATGGAACTCACCAGTGCCATCTGCGTCAAAGACTTTGGCTGAACCAGCACCCTCGATGCTGGATGAATGGACTGTACCTGTCATAAAGCCCACTGCCGAAGCCCCGAAAGCTGCAACACCGTCTATGCTTGATCAGTGGACTGCGCCCGCCGCGCCTTCCCCTGGGCCACTGCCTGCTGTACCAGACGAACAAAAGACAGTCATACCGACCCCGACAGAATCCGCTGGAGAAGTCTCTTCATTCCTGGCCAATCCGACAATGCCGACTTCAATGCCCAACTCAACCACCGACGATGCACAACAAGATGGGACCCTGGTCAGTGGTGGAGACAGAGCTGACCCGAAGCAAGAAACAAAGGACGAAGAATCAAAGAGCCATCAGGAATTGAACGTCGGAAAGAAGGAGGCTACGAAGACTGGCGGGCAAGAGGAGAAGAAGGCAGAAGAGGAATACAAGCTGCCGAAGGGGTTGAAGCAACCACCACCCGAAGCATTTAAGGAACCCGATCCGAATTCTTTGCTTGATGCGTTTGGATTTTGAGCGAGCATAGCGAGGCGTTCTGGGATACATAGTTCTGTATAGTATTGTGTTCAGTTTCTTGTGTGGCGATTGCGCTTGAGTGTGAATTCAAATTCGTTGTTGCCTGATTATTCCCGTCGTAAATCACGCTTCGGTGGCTGACGGTTATACGGCTTCCTCTACCGTGATGGATGGAGCGTCATCTGACGCGACACATAATGCCGCATTCACTTGATATCCTGGCCCTGTTCGCATTATTCAATACACTCAGTCCACATCATCACATCGACTTCATTGTCGTCACATAATCATGGAGAAGAAATACATCTGCCCTCGGTGCAACCAAGAGGTCAATTCTCAAGAAAGGAGCGAACACGACGACAGGCATTTCGCAGAGGATCTGGACAACGAAACCAATGGCGCGCAAGCAACTCCGACTCCCGTGTCACCTACAATGACGGACAGGAAACGCAGCAGCGCATCACCGACGAAAACGAATCTGCATCCGGTCGATAGTCATCGCCAAACGACAAGGTCCTCTAGTCATGCGACAACAAATGACCGCCATGTGGCTTATGTCAATGCCGTCGACAGAGCAGCAAACTTGCGGGCTCAGAGCGAGGTATGGGTATTCTGCATCTGTGTCTAGGTTTTACAAAAATGCTTAATGCCATCATTCAATGCTGACCTCTGCTGTTAGCGGGAGATGCAAAATGCCCTCCAGACCATTCAATTGCAATACCGTATTTACAACACAGAGATAGAACCGGAGCACGACAGCGACTATCCCTGTAGCTGTTCCATCCATCAATACCAACGCATGAAGCGCAGTCGTCGGCCTGTGCTGACCCAATGGTCAGAAGCAGTCATGTATCCCGGCGAGAAGATGTACCACGACTTGGCGCCCCAAACCACTATCTTCAGTGGCAATCCTTATCAGCTTCGTGTGACCTCGCCGTATGGCTATGGCGGTACTGCATGGACGAGGTCGCATCCTCGCCCGAGCTACCATGTCAAATTCATACACCAAACCATTCAGCTGAACAATCAGCTGAACCATGAAGCTCAAGTGAAGGTCGATGCGATGGAGCCAAGGCACAGCATCTGGGATGACAAGACACCCGACAGCGTGATGTCCGACTCGTCGGTCGCCGCGGAGAAGGGCGAGCCTCCAAAGTACGAGGTCGATGCCAAAAGTTACCCAGCAGAGAAATCAGCACCAACTCAATCATCGTCGAGACCCAATGGCCCACCTGAGCGCAGTAGCACTTCCCGCTTCTCCGCCTTCAGAAAAGCCGTGGGCATCAAGTCGTCAGACGAGAGAGCGACGGCCAAATCAGAAAAGGCCATCAACCAAGGCGTCGAATTGCGACACAGCATCCTGGCAGAAGAAGCAGGCCGCTGGCCAGATGAGGAAACCAAACATATCGTGGCGCTCTACCAGGACAAAGTCGGCATGGAACGCAAGATCGCTCATCTCCGTGCCCACCAGCCTTTGCAGTATCTCCATTTGCTGCGAGCAGGATATTTCGAGCCCATACCATTTGCCTGGGCTGATCAAGCTAGCAGTATGCTTACATTCAACATCGAGGCTGCTGGTGGCTGGCGAGGCATAACACCTCAATGGCGAGGATACGAAGACACTGCTGAAGAACGATTGTACTGGGTCTTGAATCACCGAGAAGGTCCTGCTGGTGTTGTACGCATGAAGCCAGACTTCATCTCTGAGATGAACATGGCTCGCGATCGCATGGCGAAAGCTGTGGAGCCGCCGCCGGACTACTACTCTGCGGACGATACTTGTCATCTTCAGCACACTTCCAAAGGATACTCGAAGCAAGTCATGCCGACACCATTCAGGTCGAGCGATAGGCCGGAAGTGCCGACTGATGATACCATGATACTGCTCGATATATCTGGATCCATGGACTTTGATCCAATCCGCCCAGTGTGAGTGTCTGACCAGAGCCTTGCTTTTGTTGAGCGCACACGACTGACATGTAGTACAGCNTACGATCAATACCTTATAACTGGATACGCACCATCCACTCAGCCCAAGAACAAAGGTATGTCGTGTCGCATATATCTCCTCATTCGCACTCGCAACATGCTGATCTTTCCACCCGACCANGATGTCGCAAAAGCCATCATTCGCCGCTTCATCGACGCAATGGCAAACCACGATCACGAGTTCAACGGCTACGACCTCATCACCTTCTCCAGCCACGCCAAATTCGTCGGCACAATATCTCACACCAGCCTCGACAAGACGTGGAACAGAATCTCCATCGGCGGCGGCACCCGTGTCATGACGGGCTGGCAGAAAGTCAAGCAGCGCCACTTCGAGAAGCACTCCGAGTCGGCGACCTACCACCCTGTGTATGGATGGCAAGCAGGTCCGCGAACACCCATGTTGCGTCTGCTGCTGCTTCTCGATGGCGAAGCGACCGATATGGATGAGTTTGAACTTGAACTTCTGGGCCTGTCGTGGGCGCATGTGACGATCTTTTTGATTGGCGTGGATGGGTGTCCGCATCATCATCGACATGCGAATGAGCTACAGAGAATCAGTGATGTGAATCATCACGTTTCGTTTGTAGATGCGCAAGGCAATACTCCCGAGAGGTTTGTGACGCATGAGCTGCTCAAGAGGCATTTGGGCTATGATGTTTCGATGCAGGAGTTCCGCGAATTGGAAGAGTTGCCTCCGTACGTCGAGTAACTTGATAGACTGGGCACTAGATGTACGACATTACTGTACGGCTGTCTACATGTAACCTCAAACCTCGCTGCCATCGTCCCGCTGTCACTGTCACTGTCACTGTCGCTGTCACCACCTCGCTGTCGCCTTCCCTAGACACATGAAACTTCCGCGATAAGATGTCGCGACGCCTGATTGCGGGGATCTGGCTGGCTGGCTGTTCTGTGCACGGACCGACGCCGGATCGTTGGTAGTACGTCTTCTTGCGTCTACGGCATGCGTGATTACGACAATTAACACTGCCATATGCTTTACGGCTACCATCGGCTCTGTGTCAGCACTAGTGCTGGCGGCTGAGGGCTATCATTAACGACCGACGACGTCGCTAAATGCAACACCAACCGGCATGGCCAACCGTTGATTGTTTGTCAGTTGACGGCGCGAGTCCTTATCGAAGCTCCAGAATGTTGGACGGAGCATTTCTCGGTTCAATGCCCAACCAATCCTGCTGCACATTGATATGACAGGCGTGGAAATGTAAGCTGCTGCGGCGTCAACGTGCTTTGATGCTGCGACATCGGTTGTCAAGCAACACCCCGCATGAATCTCAGAGATAAGAGGGGTAGTATCTGTATCACATTCTGGATTTTCAAAACAGGTAGGCCAACACCGACTCCATCTCCCCTTGCAATCATGTCGACATCATCCACATCCGTTTTGGAGAACAGCGTTGCGGAGTTGCTGGCCACTCTCAACAAGCAAGATGTCGAAAGTATGCTGGCATCCCTGCGCCGCACGTTTGCGGAGCCTTCCATGCATGGCGAATAAACGACTTACCAACCACCTCGTCAGGTCGTCGAGAGACGTGATTGCCAAGTGACACTCTTCATGTTTGCCAGATTTTTCAGCTATGAATTCCAATTTCTGATATTATTTCTGGCATATCTTTCAGACTTCAGATGACGTCATGGCTCTCTACACGTCGTTGTTATGATCAGAAGTTTTAACAAACAAGGTGGCTAGATATCCAAAAAGAGGCTGGTATATCAATACGCGTGGGTGACATGCGTGGGTAACACGTTGTTTAGGCAATCGAATATAGCCCGAGATCGGAGCCGAAGCCGCGGACGTTCGCACTTGGCGCGGGGTATCAGAGCGGATGTTACATGGAATCGGTGGAATATCGGCTCCATTCCATTCCATTCCACCACTTCTAGCTAGTATTCCATTCTATGCCAATTCTCTAGTGGAATGATGCCAATTCCAATTTTGCTGCTGTTGTTGTCGCCACCCTGTCCATGTTAGGGGTCACCCTGTCTATCGATTGGTAATCATTAGGCTTGGCACGATTATGTAAGCGCTATAATATATGAAGATCAACATACCCAATAGAAATAATATCAACCTTGCTAGAGAGTGGAATGGTCGAATATTCCACTAAAATTGACGATTCTATTCCATGCCAACGGAGTAGAATATCCCACTTATAATCAGTGGAATATTCCAACATTCTACTTATTCCATGCCATTTAACATCCGCACTGCGGGGTATCACGTAGCTCTGGTTGATGGTAGCACCCTGTCTGTACGTACATAGGGCGACAGCGACGACAAGGTTACAATCTACGTGATGTGAAATACATCTGACTTTGAAATGAAACCCAGCCTACATTTCACGCCAGCTCATAGAATGTTCAAGCCAGATTTGAAGAGATATGGAAAGAATTTCAGAAATCCGTTTCATGTAACATCCACACTGACTGGTTGAGCAGTCGCAAGCGACGGCATCCCACGTCGCGATTGGCACTCTCAAATCTAGTTACGAGGACTATGCAAACTTGCTTGAAAGTCTGATCAAGCTGGAAGCAGGTCAGGCTGGCGCTCACATCTTTGTCGACAGCCGTCATGGATGCATGGAAGCTTCGGGAGAGATCGTCCAAGCCAGACTCCAAGGCAATGACTTTGCAGATTTCGGTGAATTTTTGGCGGCGAGGAGCACAAGTCGGTGGATGTCGAGGATGGTCTTTTCTTGCCCGAGAGCATGGGCATGGGTGGTATGGATTTGACAATTGCAGACGAAATCGTCAGGATGTCGCAGGAGAAGGATATTGGTATTCAAGCAAACAACCCTTAGGTCATCAATATTCATTCTGTAATTATCTGTGTATCTGTAATTCGTAAATCATAGCAAAGCCTTGGGCTGTGACCAGACACCAAGAAGGCCCCTCTTCTTATCACTTCCATACACAGGATCAGTCGTCGGCTTGGGGATGTTCCACACCTGCTCATATTTTCCCTCATGATCGCCACCCTCCATAAAGTCCCATTGACAGCCGACTGGATATGCGCCAAGCATGCAGAAACCCTCTGTCTGGATAGCGTGGAAGTGCTTGCTCATGTCTCCTTCAGGAAGCTTGTGTCCGGATTCACCCGAGAGAAGCTTGAGGGGGAATTCGGGCAAGCAGTTGTATGTTTTGTGCGACAAGCCAGAAGGGATGATGAAGACATCTCCAGGCCTGGCTTCCAACTCAATACCTCCCTCTTCCCATGCGTTTCCGTGGGTGTTGTCCTCCATGTCCTCGCTGGTGTCGGCAACACCGAATCGAATAGTTGCAGTGCCGGTCAAGACAGCCATGGCCTCGTGTGCTCTAGAGTGATAGTGGGCGCGTTGTGTGTGTCCGTAACGGACTAGCCATTGCACTTCCCAGCCATTCTTGATGAACGTGTCGTAGACGGCTCCTGGGGTCCGCGCTGATTCTTCATCCAAGAGATTAATGTAGTGAATCAAGGGCAGTGGCGAATTGGGCACCAGAGGTGTTGGCTTGAGGAAATAAGTCCTTGTCTCAACCATTGTGTCGGCTGCTGTGGTTGTTACGAAGAATAAGTGATTAACGGTGTGCGTGTCACGAGAAGCGGTGATTGACGAGAAGAGACTCAGCGAGTTCCAGCTATATGGCCTTGTTGCTGGTCAAGAACTCGAAAAGGTAGGTATATCCTATCTTGGGTTGCTATTAGTCAGGGAACGCTTTGCGTATCAGTGACGTCGAAGCTTCTCCGCATGGATACATGCTCGGCTAGGTATCCGAATTCGTATGACTAACGATTGCGTTCGCCGTTCTAGGTGGGGTGTGCGGGGTAGTGAGTGACCGAGGGTGCTCGCGTGGACAGCAAACAAAACTCTACTCCGTACTGTCGGCGCTTGCGCGTCCGTCTTCCGCTTTGGTCACTGTCTGAAGAGAGCGAGTCACGCCGACGCTGGCCAATTTGTTGCTGTCCGAGCTTAGGGAGGAACCGGGTAACGTTCCCAAAATATGTGGCCTCATCGTTATCTGGCTTATCTCCACTGCTACTATTGGGGCAGGTCTTGCCAATGCAGCGGGGTTCCACAGTCGAACTTGGTGATACGAGTACAGTAGCCAGGCAACACCATCCGCTCGCGTTAGTTATAGCGACATTTTGAAGTGACAGCAGAGATCGGCCGATAAGTCAATTATACAACAATGAATAACCTACCACGTCGAAGTGGCATGAAGCCCTCGAGGACGACCATCGCGTACGGTGTCTACCCCTTCAGATACCGTCGAAGCCATCATTGACACTATCCAGATGTGATGCCTGTCGACAGAGTAAAATAAAATGTTCCGGCACATCTCCTTGCACATGTTGTGAGCGAAAATCACGGATTTGTGTGTTTTCAGAGGATAGCAGACGTATACTGGTTTCCGAAAGGTTTGTGTTACTCGGATCAATCTTCTTGTTGCTTGACTGAATCCGAATCCAAGGTATCTGAAATCACTGCATCGCCGGGCAAGCAAAAGCCACACGCCGAGCTCACAATCTTCAATTCCTTCCAAATCGTATGACGATGATGCTGCTCAACATTCGCGTAAGATGCCTGAGCCCAGAAGTGTCATTTCGCTCGACTTAACATAACAGCTCAGATGTCTCCATCCGCATCAAGCCCTCTTGTAGGGTATCCTTCGACCACGGATTCAGCGGCATCAGCGTCAACAGTTGAGCCGGATCAACAAGACCAGCAAAGCAATCTAATCGCGAGTCCATTCCCAAACCCAGCTGCATTTCTGCAAGACCGCCGGGCATCAACAACGCAATTTTGTAAGGCGCAGTCCAGCTCGCATGTGTAGGCTTTTGCTTACCTTGTGTGTAGTGTACATTACCAAAGCGTCAAGTTGGTCTTTCATGTTCAGAATCATTGACATGGTGAGAAGTGGCTTGGATGCTGGAGAGTTGGACAATATTCACCTTCTCTTGGACGGTGAGGCGTATCACGTTCACTTGAATCTCTCTGCTCTTGATACACCAGCGGGAATACAGGGTATTCCTCCAAAAGATCACACTCTGTACTTGATCCACGCAGTCAAGTTCCACCTGGGGCACTACTTTCGCTTTTACGACGACGAAGCGTTCATAACCCAGACGATAGAATTCTATCGAGATCCACAGCAGACAATCTCCCGGTCTCCGATCTGGTTCGTCCAGCTACTCATCATTCTAGCATTCGGCAAAGCTATTCTCGGTCCTTCTCCGAATCAGACGACGCCTGCTGGATACGACTACTTTCTCCGCGCCATGTCGCTTCTTCGTGGAATGATTGAACCACAAGGCGATCCCTTTCCTACAATCGAAGTACTGGCACTGGTAGCTCTCTACATGCTGTGCATAGATATGAAAGGCCCGGCTTATACCTACGTAAATGCCCCTTCTACTCCCTCAAACACCGAGCAAGTCTAACCAGATGTATGACCAGGTTGGCCATGCTGCACGTCTTGCTATGTGGACTGGGTTGCACACACGAATACCTAGAGAAAGATTTGGTGCTCATCTCGCCGATCGATACAGTCATCTTTGGTGGACAATCTACATGTTAGATCGATACATATCGTCATACACAGGCTGTCCTATGGTTATCCACGACGAAAACATGACTGCGTCTTTACCAACCATGGATGGGACGTCACAGGAAGACACAATATTTGCTTTGCGTGTCAAAACTTCCAGATTGACCTCGGAGATTCTGCGTAGTAAGTCTCGAATACATGATAAAATTCATTACATTGACCATAAAACCTTTAGCTGTCTATCTCGTCGAACATGGCATCGACCGATCATTTTTGAGCGCACCACAAATCTGCTAAGGTCACTATCCCAGTTGGCAAAAGAACTTAAAGACGCGACGGATGGGGAACTGAAGAGCTCGGTTCCTCTTGAACTGACTTCAGTTAGGCGCATCACTCTATCATATCATGGGGTGAGCCATATACAACTTGACTCTCTTCGGACAAAGCCACTGATGCAACTAGTGCGCCATCTTGGCAATTCGTCCCATCCTCTTATCGATCCTCATGAGGCGATTGAGAGTGACGCAGCCACGATGGGAAGAAGAACAGGCTGCAATCACTGTCGTGAAGCCGTTGGTTGACGCTTGTATCACCTCCGCAGCAAAGACGGTCGAGCTTTTGAGCCTGGAACGAGAGAACAATCTCCTCGGTACGTTCGGATACCTGGCCGACCCGAGGTCGATGGTCCGAGAACTGATTTACTTCCGATGCAGATGTATTCCTCCCCTTTCAGCTGGAAGATCTATATGCCGCAATGACCGTGGTGTACATTGTACAAGCACTATTCGCAACGTTTTACCAGCTGACAGGTTTGGAAGAAAAGGCAAATGCCATTCTTGATGAACTAAGTGCCAAAGGCAATCGTATCGCACAGTACCGTCAAAGAGAACTCGGCGTCCTTCGAGATGGAGTTGCCCGTATCAGCGACAGAATCGGCATCAAACCTCTAATGGTTCCTTTTGAGCCACCCAACTTTCTGGAAACGCATGTCCCAAGTGTGGGAAAAGGAAAAGCTCCCCAGGCAGAAGGATCGATGGATCAACAGCTACCGAGTCCGCCAAGGACTGGTACATCTGCCGAATCAATTGATATGATGGCGACAGAAACCGACTTGCTGTTCAACTTCGGGGCACAAGACGACTTGCTTGATTCGATAAACAATCAGGCATTTTTGGACGGGAATTTCTTTCCAGCAGAGTTTCCTTACGAATGGAGCCAAAATAATCAACCTTTGTGATGTGGGTGATCATCGAATACAAGCTCTACCTGATAATACAACCAAAAACAAATCTGACTGCCCATTCCATTCCATTTGATTGATGATTGTTCTGAGCATCACATCATACATGTATCGTTAGCCGTTACTCCATCCGTCCATAATCCCTGATCAGCGTCCATGACGTGAGTCGGTCTGTGATTTACCACAGCTGGACGTAAGTCTTGAAGCGAGCCCACTTGGACAGGGCGTAGTAAGTTTCAAGCTCCACAATCTCCTCCTCAGACAAGTAGTGTCTTCCAGTGAGGAGATCGGCCTTGGCGGGCTCGCGGACCTTGGTGCGCATGACGAGCTTGTAAACACCAGTGCCGCCAAAGATGATGATGACACCAAGCATGTAGGAGAAGAAGTTTGCAACGCTGAAGCTTGCACCAGCAGAGGGAAGGATTGCAGCGAACAGGCAGCAGGCAAGAAGCATGATGGAACCAGTAAGAAGCCAGACGGGGGCCATGGGCCACTTGCTCGACTTCCAGGCAAAAGGATCGGATAGAACCTTGCTGGCCTGTGCTTTGATTGCAGCGTTGAATCTGAAAGAGGTGAATCCAACGATGAGCCAGTTGCTGAAGAAAGATGAACTGGTGATGTTGATGAACCAGTTCAATGCGACGGTGCCACCTGAGCTGCAGGCCATGTAGGTGAGAACGACTGCAACGAGCGAGGTGATGAGAAGAGCGCGGCGAGGGCGACCCTTGCCATCAACCTGAGCGAACCACTCGGGTATCAGCTTCTGGTGGCCCATGGATCTCAACATTCTCGAGGCCAGGTAGATTGACTCTGCTGCGATGGCGAGGACACCACATATCATGCCAGCATTAAGGAGATCGGGCAGACCCTTGATGCCGGAATCGACAAGGCCGAGGACAAAGGGAGAGGCAGTGACACCGGAGCCTCCAAGGAGCTTGTCGCTGTCGGATGGTACCAGGAAGGTTACGAGGGTAACACTGATCATGTACATGCCAATGACTCGGTAAGGAACAAGCTTGGTAGCGTGACCCATGCTCATGCGAGGAGACTGGGCTTCACCAGCGAGCACACCAATGAAGATTTGGTCGCCAACGGCCCAACAAGCGAGCATAGCACATTGTGCGAATCCCTGGGAAANTGTCAATTCTAAGAATGGTATGTGAGAATTGATGGGACATACACTGAAGCCATTTTTGAATGCCGCTCTCACGGTGTAGTTGCTAGCGTCGTGGACATAGCCCTGGGGACCAGCACCGCAGAGGACGGCAATACTGGCGGTGATGATGATGAGGAAGAGGAAAATCTTGATCAAAGAAGTGACATATTCGAACCAGGCAAAGACTGTGTTCGGTAGGAGGAAGATGACCAAGACGACAATCAAGAAGATGGTGACTATCGGGGTCAGTTACGGGATTCGAACAAGGTCGTGTGTGAAACTCACGAAGGACTGCAAAAGGTACGTGATCTCCGGACCAGAATTTGACCAGAATGGTGAAGAATACAGCCTCTGCGGCCACGATGGCGGTCCAACCTAACCATTCGGCGAGTCCGGCACCGAAAGCCAAAGAGGGGTCCACCCATCTGTCTGCGTAGTCGATGAAGTTACCAGATGTGGGGAAGGCAATGGTCATCTCAGACAGTGTTTGAAGCACAGCCCAGACCAACGAACAGACGATGAGATATGCAAGGAGCATGTTGCCAGGGCCACCGACGTGAAGGGCCTTGCCAGTTCCAATGAAGATACCACTGCCGATGTTGGAACCAAGAGAGATAATCTGCCGGTATGGTTAGTTCTGATGTAGATACCCTTAGGCAATTCTCTTACGTGAACTTGACGCTGGGAAAAGGAGCGTTTGAATTCTCCATTTCTCTCGTCGCGCACCTTGGCCTCGTACACATCGCCCTGAGCACAGCTGATGACGGGCTCAAGGGATGGGTGGCCGGTCTTGGTCATCATCTCCTTCTCTGTGTCCATGGTCATTGACGTTCTGAGGGATAAAGGTAGAGAAAAGAATATATCGAGGATTGATGGTTTGGACTCCACGTATGATCAGAGCGAAACTGGGGGCGCATGACCCGAGCATTATATGGACGGGCCTCTGATACGAATCATGGCTTGTAGGGTCCATCCCCAGACTCCGGCCTCTGCCAAGTGATTAGAGTTGGTCGAGGCTCAACGGCTAGGCCCAAGACCGGATTCCGCCCGGATACCAAACCGAGCAGCGGTTCGACGTCCGATAGGTTCGATTGGACTGTATCTTGGTTGATACACAACCACCCGAGCTGGAGTAGTCACATCCGTCTGAGCCCGCCCTGCAAGGACGTCTGATACTAGCTGGAGAAGTGACGTACCGTGGCGGGACCTGATAACTTTCTCGTAACCAGTATCGTGCTAGCAATTCTTATCTGGAAGGCGGGCAAGGGCACGTGAAGCATTGCCTTCAAGCAGCGGGTTGACATCCGCTAAATCGAGGACATGAAGAGACCCCCCCTTGTTCTGATTTATCAAGTCCTCATTGACACAAGAATAAGGCTCAATCTTTCATCACCAACACTCCCTTGATACGATGTCCTCACCAATCCTTGTCCGCCAAGATAGCAAGAACTTCTACAAGTCGAACATGATCACCGAGCGACCAATTGATTCAAGCAGACCTCTGAAAGTCATCTACATTGGCGCTGGTGTTTCTGGCATTGTAGCTGCCATCGAGTTCCGCAAGCTCGTTCCTTCGCTCGATTTGGTCATCTACGAGAAGAACCCAGAAGTCGGAGGCACATGGTACGAGAACAGATATCCAGGATGCGCATGTGGTGAGTGTTGAAATTTTGACAAGAAGTCAGCGTCTGATTGCTCTGCAGATGTGCCCTCTCTCTCTTATCAGCTCAGTTCTGAATCTTCCACCGAATGGTCGCAATTCTATGCGACTGCACCAGAGATTCTCGAGTACTGGAAGAAGGTCGCAGCCAAGCACAATGTCCGTGACCTCGTTCAATTTTCTCATCAATGCATCGAGGCGCGCTGGGATGGTTCTCGCGCCAAATGGCTGGTCAAGCTGGCAAGGCTTGACGATGCCTCAGGCCAGCCGGTCCTCGTCGAGGATGAATGCGACGTTTTTATGACTGGAACCGGAACATTGAACGAGTGGAAGTGGCCTGAAATCAAGGGCATCCAGGATTTCCAAGGCAAACTCCTTCACAGCGCCAACTGGGACGAGAGCTTTGAAGCAGAGGTATGTATTTCGCTGTCTCAAGATCAAATTCAGATNACTAACGGTATTGCACAGGGAAAGAGAATAGCAGTCATTGGTGGTGGCAGTAGCGGAATCCAGATTGTGCCCGCGCTTGCGCCAAAGGTGACCCACATGGATCACTACATTCGTGGAAAGACCTGGATTTCCAACCAGTTCGCAGAGAAGTTTGTCAGAGAGCGAGGCGACAGCGCAATCAATGGCAACTTTCCTTACACTGAGGAAGAGAAAGAGGCTTGGCGCCAAAACCCCGAGGCGTACATTCAACTCCGCAAGGAGCTTGAGATGACCATCCAAGGCATCTATGGTGTCTCCGAGAAGGACAACCCAGCCTATGCCGATGTGCAGATGAAGTTCGAGAAGGAGATGAGAAGAAGACTGGAAGGAAAGCCAGAGATCATCTCCAACCTGATTCCCTCCTTNCCCCCTCTCTGCAAGCGTCTTACCCCAGGACCCGGCTACCTCGAGGCATTGGGTTCGCCCAAGGTGGACGCCATCCACACCGCCATCTCTCACATCGACGCAACTGGTATCATGACCTCAGATGGCAAACACAGACCAGTCGATGCCATTGTTTGCGCCACTGGTTTCGTTACCGAAGCTTCTGCAGGTTTCCCTATCTATGGCAAAGATGGAACCAACCTCCGTGCCAAGTACGCCGACTACCCCAGAACGTACTTGGGCATGTGCACAGACGGCTTCCCCAACTTCTTCCAATCTCTGGGCCCCAATTCTTTCCAAGGCGCAGGAAGTCTGCTTATCCAGATCGAAGCCATTCACAAATACGTTGCAAAGGTTATTGAGCGTCTGGCGACCGGTAACACAAGAACAATCGAGCCAAAGCGCGCCAAGGCGGAGGGATTCACCCAATTTTGCGATGAGTATTTTAAGCGAACCGTTTACACAGCAGATTGTCTGAGTTGGTACAAGACAGCACCCTCAGGATCGACGAACACGGAGCGTATGAGAGGTCGCGTCACAGCACTATGGCCCGGAAGCAGTGTTCATGCCGTCCACGCTCTGCGACACGTTCGCTGGGAAGACTTCGACATGACCTACTCTGATGATAATGAATTTGGGTGGTTGGGCAACGGATGGACCAAGGCTGACCGCTCGGGCGATATCGAAGGACTGACCTGGTATCTGAACACGACTCAGTTCTTGCCCGTGACCAAGCAAGAGACTTTGTCGATATGATCTGGGATTTGATGAGGGAAATTGAGCATTTTTGTCACTTGGTATAGGCGTCTAGGTGTCTAGGATATGCATAGCGAACTGAATCCCAACTTTACAACATTAAATCATTGCTTGTCTTTTCCTTTCCATCTCATAGTTGGTTTTTAGGGTGTGTTTCTCAACGTTTAACGGCCGGGGTTATTAAGAGATCTTACAAGATTTCCGTGTCAAGTTAATGGATCACTGATCTCGTCGACGAAAAAAGTCTCTGTTCAAAATCTAGGCAAAGCTTGATACATAAATACTACAATTCTCTGAGCTCTCGAGCAAAGGCAATAGGAATCTCTTCTTCGAGACTGTGATGCCTACTACGATAGTCCAAGTATCTTGTCTCACGTCCGGGATTGCTTCTTGCATTGGTGCCGAACAAGATACTACCATGGGGGAAAAGCGCATCTGCGTCTTGCCCACTGATGGATTCGAGCGTTGCCTCTTGCCCATGATCGCTCGCAGACTTGCACACATGCTCAGCGATGGAAAGCCATGTCTGGAATGATTAGCTGCAGCACGAAAGACGAAAGAAGCCTGTACTAACCATCTCGCCAGTTGCCGGGAAATATAGTCCATTCTGGTTCCACAAGTCTTGCGATGTTTCCGACTTTCCATGGGCGCGCACAAGGTCTGCTACCAGCCTGGCCAGATCTGCGATGTGTACGTTGCCCCAGCACGCTTGACCTTTACCAATATACACACTACGATGACGAGTGATTGCAGTCTTGCAAAGGTTGGGGATCTGTATGCTTTTGGTGTTGCCTAGACCCCTTCCTTGACCGAAGATGATGGGGGGAAAGATGAGCGCCGTCCGAACTTGAGACGGATGTGATCTGGCAAAATCAAGTACATGTTGATCAACGGCACGAGCAGAATTGTTATCAATCAAGCCTTGAATCTCAGTTGCGTCGTTCCAGTCGTCGGTTATCTTGCTCGATGCTTCACCGAAGCGGTTGTCTTTGATGTCTGGAATAGACAACAGACTGGCGCCCGATATCTGTAGCCACAACGCTAGCCTGGTGTCAGCGGATCTGCCCANCAGATTTTGTTGTAGTGATACACACTGGGCGTCTTCTTTTCTGCTTTCAAAATTCCTTGTCCGATGCTTTGTAGCACAGGAACATGTTTCGCATTTGCGGCATCTTTGACGAAAGCAATCAGTAAAAGTCTAGGGGCATTTATGCGAATACTAACTGATCACAATGTCTGCCTGAGTCACTTGGTCCTCGATTAGCTGGTGGCAGTCGAGGTCGCCTTCAACAAGTGTCACTTGTGGGTGGCGGAGCTTGATTGCTTCGGCTCGCTTCACATCGCGAACCAGCGCAGCCACAGAGACGGGCCCGCAGGTCTTCAATACTTCGTCAAGAATATCACCTCCTATGTAGCCTGTTGCTCCGGTGCTGAAGGTTGTAAGCTCTCAGACAGAGACGGCCGAGCTCATCGACTTACATGAATACTCTTTGGACCATGTTGTTCGCAGACTGGTAAGATTCGATTAGTGATTGAAGGTCCAACGAACGTTCCCACTCGGAAAAAGAAAAGGAGTGAAAGACCACAGGCGGGTCCAACGGGACTGACTGTAGTCATAGCTGCATATGGGTAAAGCTGGGGCTTCGCTGCGACTCCGCATCCGAAATTGGCAGGTTTCAACGACAGCGATAGACGTGGCGCATTGATCAGGTTGCCACCAGTATCTCCCGGTCTTATCGTTCCTCGTGACCATTGTTTGTGCGTGTGGTAAAAAGGGAACACAATCGTGGTGTTCGTAAAGTATCCAGTATTTTCCGTTCGCAAAGCATCCAGCATTTTCCGATTGTCCCTCCAGAAAGCTTCTACACGAGATGGCGAACCGAGCAGAGACCTTGGATGAGAACATCTTTACCATAGCCGATCTCAAAAGAGAAGGCAGCGCAAAGATGATTAAAGCACATAGAGGCGAGCTCAATTGTCTTTTCAGTTGGAGGCTTTTATCTGACGCTCAGCAGAATACTACAACGAAGGGGCGATGGACATGGAATCGTATGTTTCGAGATGCCAGTGTGATAACACAGCCTGCTGACAATTATGGCTNAGGCTTCTGGACAATGAGCAGGCTTATAGACGCTACAAGATCCGGCCTCGTATCCTGGTTGACGTGGACACGCTTGACACGTCAACAGAAATATTCGGAGTCAAGGTATGTGACATATCAGGTATCGAGGCAATAAATGTTAGACTGACGTGATTACAGGTNCCCGTTCCCCTTGGCTTCAGCCCGTCGGCCATGCACAAACTTGCCCACCCCGAAGGAGAAGTCGCCACTTCAAAGGCCGCCGCAAGTCAGGGAATCTGTATGGGCCTATCGTCGTACTCGACTACTTCTCTTGAGGACGTCGCTACCCATGGAGCGGGAAATCCATACTTTGTCCAAATCTGTGTCTTGAAAGATCGTAGAACGACTTTACAATTGCTCCAGCGAGCAGAGAGTGAGNNTACCCTGATGTTCAGTAGCTAGCCCGTTGCGCTGACATTGGACCCAGAAGCAGGATACAAGGCTGTATTCGTGTCGGTTGACGTTCCCGTCCTGGGACGTCGCCTGAACGAAATGCGAAACAATTTTACTCTGCCCGAAGAGATGGAGTTCCCCAACATTCTGTCAACCGGCAAAGCTGAATTTTCGGGTGAAAACGAGGCAACTGCTTACGGTGAGTGTCTGTGTTGGACGTTGACGGGGGTCATGCTGATTATTGTAGATGCCAGTCTGAAATGGGATACTGCCATTCCCTGGCTCAAAGCCAATACCAAGATGCAAATCTGGCTTAAAGGCGGTTCGTATCACAAAATGACAGGCGCCTAATGTTCGGACCTAACTTGATTCTANGTGAATACCGCGGAAGATGTAGCTCTGGCAATCCAACATGGACTCGACGGGATTGTTATCTCCAACCACGGCGGTCGACAGCTTGACGGAATCCCAGCAACACTTGACACGCTACGTGAGTGCGCACCGATAGCAAGAGGCAGGATTAGTATCGCTGTAGACGGCGGCATCCGGCAAGGATCCGATATCTTCAAAGCATTGGCGTTGGGTGCTCAACATTGCTTTGTCGGCAGGATCCCCATTTGGGGTCTGGCAGTGAGTCAGATAGACGTGTTAGCTTGTCGGCAATCACTGACAGACTCCAGNTACAAAGGACAGGAGGGTGTCGAGCTCGGCATCAAGATCCTCATGCAAGAATTTGCAATCACGATGCGGCTGGCGGGGTGAGTGTGCATTGGCCCGATGTCCGAGAACTTACACTGACGAGAGGCGAACAGATGTGCGCGCATTGAAGATATTACGAGTGCACACCTTGCTGTACTGACGAGAGACGGAATCCTTGCGAAATTGTGAAAGATCGCGAAAATTGATGGAGTGCTTAAAGAGTGATGTTTGCAAAGGTTGACCGATCGCTTGGAGCTGTAGCCGATCTTTTCGCCCCTGTAGATGCAGGGAGAAGCCGAGCCATCCGTCGCTACCCCACATTAGTTTATTCTTCTTTCGATCAAACACATAAACCCAACGTGTCTCTTCCAACCTCCTGCTCTCAATTCATCCAACGTCAAATGCAACGATCGACAAGCGCAAAGGGCAAACGACAGCGAACATTCACAGGATGTCGCACTTGCCGAAGAAGACGTGTGAAATGTGATGAACGCAAGCCGACCTGCCGCCATTGCGAACGACTGGAGCTAGAGTGTGAAGGCTATGATGCTCTGCTTCAATGGTTGCGCCCCATTGAGTCGACGGGGTCGTGGAGAGACGAAGCAATCGAAGCTGTCATGCCGATCGAAGATCAGAGACAAAGTCGACGTCAGCTATTTTCTGGTCAGCCGGGAGCATTGTCTCACTCAGGATGATTTGCTGAGCAGCTNACAGATGCGCAAAAGCAGAGCATGTGCCTGATCCTTCATGATACAGGGTCCAAAATTGACTACAACAAAGATGTTGTAAGTATCGAGGAGAGATGCAAAAGTAGCAGTGAGACGCTTACTTTCGGACCTTTTGGTGCGTTCAGTCTGGATCTTGGTTTGAAAAATAGCGCGACAAGCAATGATGATGGTCGTGGGATGATGGTCCCACATGTCTCACCTGCGCTGGAAGCGCCTGAAGCTCATGAACCAAACTTCTTCTTGCACGAACCTTCAACTCAGATGGATCACACGGCGGGGCCTGATTCCTTACTCGGCCATGATCTACCAGATCTAATGGACGACCAGTCTTGCACCGCCTCTTTGAATTTCATGTCAGCGCCTGAAGCGGATGCCGTGTGGACCAATCTAGACTGGCTGCAGTCACCAATGACTCTTCATGATGAATCTGTATCGAGCATCGTTGGAGAGATACAGGCTGCTTTGGAACCAAGTGTGTCGGACGCAACAAACCTGCAAGACGATTCGGCGCCCCTGAATTCAATGTGTCCGACATTGTCGCGGTCCTGGACCTGTAACAACCCCCTACCCCACATCGACACATTGGCAGACCTTTTCAAGAACTCCTACGCCCGACCAGGATCTACTTGGCAGGTTCTCCAGATGCCTGAAGTACAGAAAACATTGGGACAAATTGCACTGAAATTGACCCCTAGCCATGCAAGCTACGCCGTGCTGTACGCGGTACTGGCTGTCATGTCATTCCACATGGATAGACTCAATACAACAGAGCCTCGTTCAGGATACTGGTGGGCTTTGGGAGAGAATTACATGTCTCAAGCTGTTTCTCAAGTCCTCTTGTTGCTGGTTGATACACCAGGTTCTCTGAACAATACTGATTACAAGTCCACTGTTATGGCTTTGCTAACAATGGTCGCGGTTTGTGTATGAGTACATACGTCTATGTAATCATGCCTCATTGGACTAATGTTTGAATAGCTGACAAGCGGAAAGCTCGAAGAAACCCGTATCTACCTCTTGGACACCCAGAAATTCATCAAACAACATGCATCACGCGAGAAGCAAAAGTCTCGCAAGATTCAGTTGCTTCATGCTCTATTCGTATATCTTCGAGTGTTGGAAGAGTCTACATACATCTATCCCATTCTGTTTGAGAGGTCGCTTTTCAACAACAGAGCTCACATCTACAGCGTTACCAAATTTCCGTCTCTTGCCCTCAAGGACCTGTCTAACTCACCACGTACACTTCAAAGGCCAAGCTTTGAAGAACTTATGATACCAGACTTTTGCTTCGAAGCGCCTAATAATGTAATGCAACGTATGTTTGCAAACATGCTTTGCTTGCCCGAGTCTCTTCTTGTTCTCATGTCTCACATCACCTTTGTCGCCTGCGAGGCCCGGCAAGCAAGGAATACAACAGAGACCATTGATGCAGGCATTCTGCAAGACTTTGACAACCGTGCCAAGGTCATAGAGGATCTTCTTTGTGCTTGGACATTCCCAGGAGATCGCCTGAATTGGGTGACAACAGATTCTGTCGAGGACTCTCCAAGGTCAGACGGTCGCGATGAAGTGCTTGAGCATATCGCCATAGCTTTCCATTCAGCTCTGCTGCTTTACTTCTACCGTGAGGTCAAGCAAATCAATCGCCTGGTCCTACAACCTCTTGTCAAGAAGATCACTACGCACCTCGTTGATTGCGAGAATTCTAAACAGCAGAACAATGTCCCCTCCAGCAGCGTGATATGGCCAAGCTTCATGGCGGCGATCGAAGCACTGGACGAAGACGATTTTGCGCGGATCATGGGTTGGATGCAATCGTGTGCGGACCGGTACAGTCTGCGTGCTTTCGACCGGACTATCACGGCTGCAACAGAGTTGAGGAACTTGCGTGTACACACTGGCACAGACGACTGGCCTGACACTATGCTGCAGAAGGGCATCTTTTTGGTCCTGTCCTAAACGACTATACATTGAGCTACCTGCTTCTACCATTCCTACTGCCCCCTCAATTACCACTCTCCTTTCATTGTCTGATCAAGTCCTCCAGCTTCTCAAGGAGGATGTCGGCTACCCAGTTTCGATTAGCATAGATCTCATGTCAAACACATGAGGAGAAATCTTACCATGGTGTTTCTGGAAGACGAGCATTGGCCGCAAACGAATGGCCCTCTCGCCACACCCACCTAGATTAACGCCCAATGACTTTGCTCGCTTGACGAGCTCGTCGCGCCTAGGGCTATCAAACGCAATGAACGTCCCGCGGTCTTTACCACGAAGGTTCAAAACCTCGCCCGGGTACTTTGAGGAAAGCTGTTCAAGTTGATCGTACAAATACTTTCCCATCTTGGCGGTGTGAGCTACCAAGTCTTTGGTCGTGATTTCTTCGAGGATTGCTCTGAACAAGATTGCCCTTGCCGGATCGCCCATCCACGTGTTGAATTGTCTGTATGGCTTGTTCGGCCGCAGCAAGGGTTCGCGGAAGTAGTATCCGGCGGCTTGGGCTTTCTTTGAGAATGTGACCATGTCTGGTGGGGTAGGGAGGTTCCAATGCTCATGAGCCCAGAATTTTCCGGTAGCGCCAACACCAGTTTGAACCTCATCTACAATCAGCAGAACGTTGTTGCGCGATGTCAACTCGCGAAGCTCCTGGAAAAAGGCGGGTGAAGCGTGGTTGTCGCCACCCTCTGACTGGATCGGCTCTACTATGACTGCAGCAACAGGATTATGGAATTCCTGGATCAATCTCTCGGTCTCCTGCAAGCAGCGTCGCTCCTCGGCAGCATTCTCTGCCTCGAACTCGTGCAAAGGGTATTGCAGCTTTGGGAATGGTGCGGCGGGCCAGTCGAAGGCGGGAATGTCAAGCTTGTGGATCGGTTTGCTTCTTGTCGTTGAAAGACTGCCAAAAGTTCGTCCGTGGAACCCTCCATGGAACGAAAGTATCGAGTAATTCGGGGCACCAGGTGCTTTGTTCAGCATACTGGATGACATCTCCTCAGCTGTGAACTCCACTTCTGGTCCACCTCGATTTTGCTGGGCTTTCCACATAATCGCCGCTTTATATGCCGTCTCGTTTGCGTCTGAACCAGTCGAAGCCGTGAAGACTTGATTCATACCTGGCGGTGCAGCTTGGAGGATACCAGTGCGCAATATCTCCGCATATTCTGCGTCTGGAAAGTTGCCCAAGGCTGGACGGTTGATCAGAGATCTAACCATTGCGGGATTCTTCGAAGCTTGTTCAAGATGAGGGTTGTTGTAGCCAACAGCAATAGACGCTATCTGTGCNNAAACCTGTTCGCCTGTTAGCGTCATTAGTCCACTCAGCAGCATTACAGATACGTACACATCTAAGAGCATGTTGCCATCAGGATCAGCGAGACTGTTCAAGGTCAACAATTCGAACACTTCGGTCTCGGATGGAAGTTGCTTACTAGTTGCCGTGGCTTTTTTGTAGTCTACGAGCATGTTCAAGCTTCGCGTGTCGAAAACGTCGTTCAATTCGCTTCTCATCTGCAAAGCAATGGGTCCAGGAAGTTCCGTCTTGACGGATGGCTGAGAAGGTTCATGCTGGAAGAACGGACTCAGAGTGGCATATCGACGCGAGCTTGGTAGAAGCGTGTGGAGTCGTCCAGCTCTGGCCACTCTTCGCAGCGCAGAGTGTGAGGTTTGAGAGTTCAGCATTTTGTTTGTGTTTCTGCAATACTCGCTGCGATCTGGTTGTCATATATCTGGGGTCACGAAGGGGAACTGTTGAGTCTCCTCGGCACCAGAAGAAGCTCGCCATGGCTTTCCAAATCTGTGCCCGGTCGCTTGAATCTCGCGGTGGGGCAAGCTTCGCTCCCCACGACCATCGCTATCGGCACTCCCGAACAGTGAACCCCGATCGAAGAGCACAGCTAGAGTTCGAGCTCCCCAGCATTGGTCTCGGCGGAGCAGCAGTCGTTTCTGGGACTCTTGCACACTTTGACACAACACTCGTGGCCATCAATAATGCTCTCTTGGGCCTATGTGCCGTCCTGACAGACTTTGAATGTTCCACGCGGCCAACAATGTTCGAACAAATTATCAATCTTTGCGATTGGCTGAATTATCGTGGCCCAAGGCTATATTGATTGATGATACGGCTATGTATATCGGGTCATATCTGATATCAACCTCCAATTCTCACTCAGTTCTGAGTGGGCATATTAACACTCGCTCTCGACGTGCTTGCAGCAGCAGAACTCCACAGCGAGGTAACCGTCTTGGTTTGGGTGTAAAAGTTCAGTCCAGCCTTGCCATAGAACGTGCTCACACCTCCGCCAGCGACACTTCTCTTGTTGCCTGTGAAACTGAACATGGGAAGAGGCACCTTGTCTAATCAGCATTCTGTAGTCAGGCTCTTGGGAATCAATACTTACAGGGATCGGAACATNNTGATGCCGACTTGACCAGCTTCAATGTTCTGCTGGAAATAAGAAGCGGTGCTTCCGGAAGACGTGAAAACGGCCACACCATTACCATATTCATTCTTGTTGACAAGTGCGATTGCGTCATCCAAGCTCTCAGACTCGAGACATACTAGAACAGGTCCGAAGATCTCTTCTTTGTAACATCTCATGTGTGGCTTGACATTTGCGATGATTGTGGGCCCGACNNCTGCTCGAAAGTTAGTAATTGGATCGCAATCTTCCTGCATGATATTTACAAAGTTGCCGTTGGGATAGTCCCTAGGTGCAAAGTTTCGGCCGTCCAGTAGGATGGTCGCACCTTCTTCTTCGGCGCTTGCGATGAGCTCCTCGATACGAGCTTTGCTTTCTGGACTCACGACTGGTCCAAGATCAGCTTCTTGCTCGAAGCCGCCATTCACGTTCAGGTTTTTAGCGCGCTCGATCAATTCGGGTAGCCAGGTCTTAGTGTCTCCCACAGCCACAAGAGTACTCAGTGCCATGCATCTCTGACCAGCCGCGCCGAAAGCAGCCCCGGATATCGCGTTCAAAGCTTGGTTCTTGTTCGAGTCCGGCATGAGGACAGCGTGGTTTTTGGCACCAAGGTTCGCCTGGCAACGCTTGCCGTTCGCCGAAGCACGAGCATATATGTATTCTCCGGCTGCTGTACCACCAACGAAACTGACAGCCTTGATAGCTGGCTCGTCAAGGATAAAGTTGACTGCGCGTTTGCTTCCATGGATGATATTGACGACGCCTTCAGGGAATCCTGCTTCCTTTACCAGTTCGGCAAGTATCAGTGCTGCTCCGGGGTCCCGTTCCGATGGCTTGAGGAGCAAGCAGTTTCCGGTCACGGTTGCTATTGGGATGGACCACAAGGGTATCATTGCAGGAAAGTCNNTAGTACTGGTTAGCGATGGTACATCCCAGTAGGGAGCAGTAGACTCACTGAATGGGCAAATTGCGGCCACGACACCTAGGGGTTCCATATAACTCCGAGTCTCCATATCTTTCGCCACAGGGAGCACATCGCCAGTCATCTGGGTCGTAATACCACAAGCCGTTTCAGCAACCTAGAAGTTGTCAATGGAAGTCACATGTCGGATCGTTGACAAGCATACCTGGAGACCTCTAAGAACGTCACCTCTGGCATCCTGGAACGTCTTACCTTGCTCCAACGTAATGCTGGCCGCAAGTCTGTCCCAGTTCTTTCTGATCAGTGCAGTGAAGTCGAACAAGATTTGTTGGCGTCTCAGGATGCTTGTGGCTTTCCATTGTGGGAAAGCTGCTGTAGCACTAGCAACTGCAGCTCGAAGCTCGGCGTCAGTACTCTGAGGCACCCGAGTCAAGAGATTGTTGGTGGCAGGATCATGAAGATCGATCCATTCGTCAGCCTCGGAGACGACGAATTTGTTGTCGATGAAGTTGGCTGTAGGATATGGTTCATCAAGCTTTGCATGGGAGGTTATATGCGGCGGCACGAAGCGGAGGCTAGATTGACTGAACAGACGCTGGCTAGAGCTCGAGATTCTGAGTGAAGATAGTCTTGGAGCTGAAATCGCACTTGCGTGGCGACTCAGCATCAAGAAAGATCGCGATGGAGCAGTGGGCATGACGAACGAGACTTGCAGAAGGTTGGAATGACAGGGGGACTCGGTAAGCTCATCAGGCGAGGGACTCTGCGCTTTACATAGATTATCATCGTCGAGATCAGTCGCGATCACTCACTGCACGAAGTTCAGGATTCACTTCCGACACCGTCCGAACGTGGAGCAGTATGAAAGGCTCGGTGGAAACCTGCTTCCCCACACTCGGTAGGCGCTCGAGTCCCCGATTTCGCTGTCGCTGAAGCCTGCCTGTTCTGTAAACACACCACTACATCTCCTGCGGGGACTCACACGAAACTGCAATGTGTCGCTTCCACTACCCGACAAAACGTGTTTACGTTGATAATGTGATCTGCTGGCATGGATAGGCCTCGCAGGTAAAAGCCTTCCATCGCGCTCTTGCCACGACCACTACTTCATACCTCGCTCCATCACCGCTAGTTTCTTCCCGCTCCAGCCAAACTATCATTTGTCCTCTCCGACAACATCAGCATCAGACAGAATGTCACACCAACAACTCAAAGGAATCTTGGTGGCTTTGTACACCCCATGGACCCCAGATCAGTCAGCTATCGATGCCAAAGCTCTCGATGCCCACATTCAGCATCTGATCAAAGCTGGAGTTCATGGCTTGGTACCTGGCGGCAGCACAGGAGAGTTTTCCGCCATGACTCTTGCTGAACGCAAGCAATTGGTTGAGATCTGTGTTAAGTCGGCTGATAGCCGGGTTCCCGTTGTGGCAGGCATCGGCAGTCTTACTACCAAGGATGGAGTTGAGTTGGCCGAGCATGCAGCCAAAGCTGGCGCATCTGCTTTGATGGTCGTTCCCCCGTTCTACGATGCGGTCTCGGTCGAACAGCTACATGACTACCTTCTGGAGCTGCATCAAGCTTCCAACCTGCCGATCATGTATTACAACATCCCTTCTGCAAGTGGCTTGACCCTCACACCAACACAAATTGCTGCTCTGTCGAAGGTTGGTGTTAAATACATGAAAGATACCTCGGGAAATGCTCCAGCCTTGACCGATCTCCTCTTCACCCATCACAACGACATCACCACTTTCAATGGCTGGGATACGCTCACCTTCTACGGGCTGGCTGCCGGAGCAAAGGGTTCTGTTTGGGGTACCACCAACTTGATCCCAGAGCTCTCTATCCAGCTGTGGGACGCGCTTGCAGTCAAGGGTGATCTTGCACGTGGACGTGAGCTCTGGGCAAAGATCTTCCCAATCTGCAAGTTCTTGGAGAGTTATAACTATGCGGCGGCGATCAAGACTGGTATGGAGATATTGGGTGCGTCCACTGGTGGTAGTCGCAAACCTTTTGCTTTGCTTGGCCCGAAAGAGCGTGCCGAACTGGCTGGGCTATTGAAAGATGCAGGTTTGAAGACTGTTGAGTAGTTGTCAAGAAATGCAAGACCGTTGATCATATATTGATGGAGACATTTGTTGAGCTCATACTTGAACGACGAAGTGTCATTGTACCTCTTGCAACGCGTGAGCGCTACTTTCGATCCACAATATCACATCGAACTTTATAGTCGAAGGGTGTTGGTTTGATCAGGTCGCCTTCGTAACATGACAAAAGATGACCCACCGGCTTTGCCTGACGTGAGCTCACAAGAGATGGTATCTGATTTGGAACACAGTATATACTTGAGGCCGACCAGTCCGTCGACTTTGAGCCTGCATAATTAAGGCCAGAACTGGTTGCGGTGTACTTCGCTGGCTAAAAGAAGTGACAGGAAGAAGTGACAGGGTCTTCCCACCGGCAAGGGGAACAATGGCGCCTGATCTTTGATCAAGCGGCCAGCTCGTGCTAGTGCAAGAGGAACATACATTCTGCGCCTGATTCTCATCCTTATCGACGTTCTTATTGAGTAAGCAGTGACAGTCGAACAGCGCGGCGAGCTGTTCGGACAAAAGAAGCTTGAGTCGGTGTCACGAAAAGTGGGGCCCACACAAATGGAAAGCGTCCGCGACGGCGCATATCTCGGCGTCTGTCATGTAGATAACAAGACCAGATCCGACCCTCAGCAGTAACAGAATCAATTCCTCACAACGACATTCATCATGACAGATCTCCTCATCGACTTGACTGCTCCCAATGGCAAAACATACAAGCAACCGTTGGGTTTGTTCATCAACAATGAGTTTGTGCGAGCTAAATCTGGCGCCACTATCACAAGCATTTATGCAGCGTAAGGCTTGCTTTTACAGAAGATTGATCTTGAAGCTGATACAAGCACCAGCGACGAGACAGAAATTGCGACAGTGCAAGCAGCAGGCTCAGAGGACGTGAACATCGCTGTCAAAGCTGCCAAAGATGCCCTAAAGAGTCCGGCATGGAAGCTTCTGCCAGCAACAGACCGCGGCATTTTGATGAACAGACTTGCAGACCTCATGGAGAAGAACATTGAGCTACTTGCTACTATCGACGCGTGGGATAATGGTAAGGCTTCTGCCTCTCGTCTCAATCGAGATCAATCACTTACAGAAGAACCCCANGGCAAACCATATTCAGAGGCTTTGACAGGAGACCTTCCCGAGGCGATCGGTACCATCAGGTACTATGCTGGTTTCGCCGACAAGTCGTTCGGCCAAACGATCAGCACCACGCCACAGAAGTTTGCGTATACGATCCGACAGCCCATCGGAGTCGTTGGACAAATCATTCCTGTGAGTGACGCTTCGATCATCTGATCATGAACAACTAGCCTGGAATTTTTCTCATCAAGCTAACTGCCTTCTAGNTGGAACTATCCTCTGTCTATGGCCTGTTGGAAGCTGGGACCCGCTTTGGCCAGCGGCAATACTGTCGTCCTCAAAGCCGCTGAGCAAACTCCTCTGAGCATATTGGTCTTTGCAAGCCTAGTCAAAGAGGCAGGCTTTCCACCCGGCGTGGTGAACCTGATCAATGGGTACGGCAGGGAGGCTGGTGCAGCTCTTGTCAGTCACCCAGATGTGGACAAGGTCGCTTTTACTGGATCAACAGCGACTGCCCGCACAATCATGAAGCTTGCGGCTGGCACTCTNAAAAATATCACTCTTGAGACCGGAGGCAAGTCTCCGCTGCTGGTCTTTGACGATGCTGATCTGGACCAAGCTGTAAAATGGTCCCATTTCGGCATCATGTCCAATCAAGGTCAAATTTGCACAGCCACATCGAGAATCTTGGTGCAGAAGAGTATCTATGACTCGTTCGTCCAGGCCTTCAAGGACAGAGTCATGTCGACTAGTGTGGTGGGCGATCCTTTCGAGAAGAAGACCTACCAAGGTCCGCAGGTCACAAAGCAGCAATACGACAGCGTTCTCTCTTACATCGAACGTGGAAAGTCCGAGAATGCGACTTTAGTCTGCGGTGGAGGTCCTGTGGAAGGAACCAAGGGCTACTACATCGCCCCTACTGTCTTTTCCGATGTCACCGACGACATGACAATATACCAAGAGGAAATCTTTGGTCCAGTGGTCGTCATCTCCAGTTTCAACGACGAGGATGAAGCAGTCGCCCGAGCGAACAACACAACATACGGTCTTGGAGCCGCTGTCTTCACAAAAGACCTCCAACGCGCCCATAGAGTCAGCGCAGAGATTGAAGCAGGCATGGTCTGGGTGAACAGCAGTCAAGACTGCGACCCGCGAGTACCATTTGGCGGTGTCAAACAGAGTGGTATAGGGCGCGAGCTCGGCGAAGCAGGTCTGGAGGCTTACTCGCAAATTAAAGCAGTGCATATCAACATGGGAAATGACCTTTAGATACTATAAGGCTATTGATGGTTTGGATCATAGAAGATATAACAATATCTAATATACTATGATAGAATCAATAAGGCTTAGGTTATAATGTACACTACTGACACGGTCCTGCTTCCACTGGGACTCGAACCGTGGTAATTGACCCAACTAGGCAAGGACCGCCAAGCCTCGTGGGGCACAGACCTCCCACGCGACCATAATACCGAGTCGCGCCTTGGGCTCCTCTACTAGTTATTTGTGCCATAGTCCATGAATTGAACTGCAGTATCAGACATTGTCATTCTATCGCCCCGCTTTACCAAGTATCCCAGACACCCTAGCCACCATGGCCACCAATGCAGACAGACACCGTAACCAGATGAACGCCTTCCTCAGCCACGTCCAGCAGCAAGGCGCCGCCGCGAACCCAGACTTTACCAAGACCGTCGACCAGCAGAAGCAGATGGCTCTCGACCAGCAGAAGCAGAAGGCCATTGAGGCCGCCGCCAGAAACAAGCAGAGAGTCAATGCCGACATGGAAATTGTCAACCCGCAAGTATCCCCTCTGGGCCGCCGACGCTCGATGTCGCGCACCAGCCGCACTCGTATCCCTCTCGCACGTGTTTCTTTGGCGAACACCAACCCCTTCGGTCCTCTCAACAAGGACGGAGCTTCTATGCCCTCTCAACAGGGTACTGCACAATCTACCCAAGCCACTACTCGTACCCCGAAGTCACAGTCCCAACCAGTGTTCGAACCGATTACACAGAAACAGTCATCCGAAGTCCCAGGCACCTTCGAGTCCAGATTTCTTGACACCGAGACCCAGCAAGAGGCTCCTCAGTTCATGCAGAACGAGGATGAGTCCCAACACAACCATGATCATGTACATGACGACCACACGGGCAACATCGACACGACCCTCCTCGACATCACCAGAGACTACGAACTCACCATCAATGGGTTTGTCACAGACGCTCTTTGTAGCAAGAGCAACACGCAACTCGACGACTAGTATGGAGATCGTCATCGCCAGACGCGCGCCTTTACCGAGTTCGAGACCCTTGCTCGGAAGTATGACGAATCTTTCGAAGATTTCCTCACTCGTTTCCAAGAGTGTGTTGGATACATGAACTTGCCTCCAGAGCTTGAACTCCAAAAACTTCAGCACAAGCTCAACCCTCGCTACACTCAGCGCATTAACGACGGCACCCACTATGCCACCATCAAGGACGTCATCCGTAGAGGCGACGCTCTCGACGCTCTCGACGCTCATTTCACGTTCCAGGATTCGCAGAAGAAGACCGGCGAGCGTGAACGCCGTCCTCGCCAGCGCAACGCCAGTACATCTTCTCAGAGCTCTGGCAGCTTCGTGTCTTCGCGCTCCTCCGCCAGCACTATCGCAAGCAGACATTGACAGATTCATGACAAAGAAACCGGAAACAGACGTGCTTCAAGCCCTTCCACAGCGGTACAGGCAGTTCGCCGGTGTGTTTTCTAGGGTGGAAGCTGATAAATTCCCACCACATTGACCGCAAGATCATGAGATCCGTCTTCATGAGGGTAGGCAACCGCCGTATGTCCGCCCAAGAGGAATGTCACCCGAAGAGCTCGCCGCTACTAAGAAGTACCTGGACGAGAACCTAGACAAAGGGTTCATACGACCGTCTGCTTCCCCGGCAGCAGCACCTGTGCTGCTGGTCCGCAAGCCAAGGGATGGTCTACGCTTCTATGTTGATTACAGAGGTCTTCACGATGCCACAATCAAGAATCGTTACCCGACTCCCTTGATCCGAGAGACCCTTGACAAACTCGCCCGTGCGAAATACTTCAGCAAGTTTGACATTATCGCCGCTTTCAACAACCTGAGAGTCAAGGAAGGCAACGAATGGAAGACTGCCTTCAATACACGTTATGGCCAATACAAATATCTTGTCATGCCGTTCGGGTTATGCAACGCGCCGGGAACCTTCCAGTCCTACATTAACAGTACCCTCCACGAATACCTTAATGATCTTTGCATAGGATACCTAAATGACATTCTTGTCTTTAGCAAATCTTTAGAAGAACATTGCATCCATGTGGCTAAGATTCTGGACCGCCTGCGACAGGTCAAGTTGTATGCTGACATCGACAAGAGCGAATTCGAGGTCACCAGCACCAAATACTTAGGCCTGATCATCTCTACCGGCGGTCTCACAATGAACCCGCAAAAGATTGAAGCAGTACTTAAGTGGCCGCAGCCTCGCGTACTTAAGGACGTTCAAGGATGTTTGGGCTTTGCCAATTTCTACCGCAGATCCATCGAGGAGTTCTCATGTCTAGCTAGGCCATTGACCGAGCTGACCAAGACTGAACACAAGAGCCAGAAGTCCAGCATGACTGACGAAGCTATTTCTGCTTTCGAGAAACTCAAGCACAAGTTCATGGAAGCACCGATCCTGGCGCACTTCGACTTCGACAGAGAAATCATGGTTGAAACTGACGCATCAGATTTCGTGACAGCGGCAGTGCTATCTCAATGGCACGAGGTCCCCGGCCACGGGCGTCTGCTGAGACCAGTGGCATACATGTCCAAAAAGATGACACCGGCGGAGTGCCGTTATCCTGTTCATGACAAGGAACTCCTGGCCATTATTCATGCTTTTGAGGAATGGGAGCCGGAGCTACAAAGCGCTTCGCCCGACCAGCCAGTACTAGTCCTGACGGATCATAAGGCTTTGGAATACCTTACCACCAAACAACGACTCAACCGACGACAAGTCCGCTGGTCGGAATTCCTCTCAGAATTTGACTGGAAGATCACCCATCAGCCGGGAGCAAAGGCTGTCAAACCGGACGCCTTGTCAAGAAGATCCTCAGACTTTACCTTTGACGATGAAAGAGAATTGGACAGATACCATGCTTTGATTCAACCGGACAGCCTACCTGATGTGAACATCTCTAGGCTGACCGATACTACCGCTGTTGAGGTTCCCATCGAACAGCAGGTTCGCTGTGCTCAGAACGATGATACTATTACCGAAGCCATCAAGACAGCATTGAACGAGCACGCTCTCAAGCTCACACCGTTCCTTTTCTCCAACTCCAAGCAAGTTCCTATCTCGCTATCTGACTGTTCGTACGAAGATGGAATTGTCCAGGTAGCTGGACGAATCTCGGCACCTCCGGGGGCACGAACAGCGGTCATTCAGGCTCATCATGCGACGCCGCTAGCAGGCCACCTAGGCGGAACCGGGACTCATTAGCTGGTCTCTCGTTCCTACTTCTGGCCAGGCATGACAGATAATATTAAGCGCTACGTGAGGAATTGCCATGTGTGCTACAGAACCAAGACTCCGCGGTTTTCCTAGGGCAGGAGAAGGCTCTCTAAGAGCTAGGTTACTTGTTTATAGTATTAAAGTAATGTTAAGTGATTAGACTTTAGATTATGTATTTTAAAGATAAGTTTAAATAGCTATTCTAATCCTAGGCTTGAATGATACTAACTTTTTTCTAGATTTTGCTTAATCTACTATGCTTACCTTTATGTCTTTAATAGAGTTCTTTACTAAGAATGTAAGCCACGGACGTAAATAACAATAACAATGGAAAGGTAATCTATGTTCTAGTGATCTCGTTCTTTTAACACTCAATAAGCGGCCTTGAGACGAGACTGATGGTACTCCAAACCCGTCATGTTAGGATACTTTGCCGGACGAACCTTTGACACAAAAGGCTCCGTAGATCCTACCATAGCAGAGCGATCCGCTTTGCAGAAGAAAGCAACAGGATAACGCTCTTCAATCTCGCCATCTTTAACATCCTTGAGGTGTGGCGGAATCGAAACCCGGTGCAAAGCAGCGGGTACGACATCATTCGTCCAACGCTGGAATGTCTCGCTGGTACTGATGACCAGCTTATCAGCTCTTTCGGTCTGCACAGGCACCCATGATCCCTGAGGGCCACTTCGGTTTCCGAATCCAAGTCCTGCAGCTCCACGCGTCCACAGCAATGTCAATACGCCGAGGTCGAAGTGCGGCCAGATGCGGTTCACACTGCCCGAACGCATCTGCTGAAGAGAAATGGCTGGATAGTGGTTGAGACGCAGCTCGCCAGCGTTCTGGGCCTCGTTCGTAAAAGTACCGGGCTGGAGCTCTAGTGTTTCTTCGAGGACCTGCAAGAAGTTGTTGCTGAGATGTTCGCCGGCTTTGAAGAACGATTGCATCAGGGGTTTGAAGCTTGGTAGATCGCTATCGTTTAGCCATCTGTTAGGGAACTCTATGTCGGAATCTGGGCCTTGGTCTCAATGTTCCTGGGCATAGTCGTCAGTTACAGTTAATCCTGGCTGCCAACCACCAAGACTCACTCTTGCATATGACAGACCGGTTTCTGAACCCTTGCCCAGGAGCTNCTCTGCTCCGACGTGACTATACCCACGTTGCGGATTGGGTCCACGGGGGTTGGTGATTGCCTCCTTGGCCTCACGAGGAAGCAGGAAAAACTTCTTACTCTATATATGTCAGCATTGACTCAATTCAAACCGGCCAGGCTCTTCNNTGACCAATCCGAAAATCTTATCCACAGTTGATGCATCGATGCCAGAATTGATCACCCGAGCGAAGCCAGAGTCGGTCAGAGATTCAAGGATCTTGGTCGAGCATTGCTCGCGTTCTTTCTCGTTGCCGTGAGTATATTTGGCGAAGTCGAGGATTGGGGCCTCGACCTCGGCCTTGGGGTGGTCTGCAGATATTCTTCCAGGCATATTCGAATGTGAGTTGGCCGCGCCTCTTGTGGTTATTCCAATCAGAGAGAGACGTTGATTCAGAGCATTATATTTCTGAGGTGTGATCCGGTGAGAGTAGCGTATATTGTACGATCAAGAGTGTGGCGCCATCCAATCCACAAGCCGCAGTGAGCCCACCGTTGTATTTCATGGAGTCTGTGGAACCACTCGGATAACAGTAGTTTGAGCGGCTGCGACGCTCGACGTGCGATAGTGGTCGCAATTTTCTTCAGGCAGTTGCTTCAGACATATATCTTACTGTAGGCTTTGTGATATCACGTTTCGAACCATCTAGTTGTGCCCCGACAAAAGTTCTTGCTCCGAAGGCCGAGGTGGCGGTATTCGAGTGAGAGGTAGAAAGAATAACTGCCAACTCACACTTGAAGATGCTCCGTCAGATATCAGCGATCGGTTGATGTCATAAGAAAAAGTGAAAAGGATCTCATCTTGGTCCCCCCTCACAATATGCGCTTGTTCAATGCTCACACTCGTCAACTCGCTCTCGCAGGTCTGAAGGACCTTTGCTGCTGTACGCTATCATCAGTATATTATCTTGCTCGGCACTGCTTCTCATATCTTGCTTCTGACGCCGGGGAACGCGATCTTGCCACATAACTCACCTTACCACACTGCGGTGTGACATTTATTTGACCGACCCACAGTCGTGTCCACAATTTCCGGTCAAGCCTTCACATATTGCCTTTTGGGAAGTGAGTCGACCGCGCAGGACCACCGAGAGTGACGCTTATACTATGCTGTGGCTCCTGTTCAAATGATGTTTCCCATACTGACTGAAGTAGGTTCAAGCAAGACCTCTAAAAATCACATTCGATCGGCGTCGACTGTTTCCAGTCCACAACAACACAAGATCAAGCCCTCACCGGAGGCAAACCAGCCCACTTGCCCTCTGCCATCACCACCCTCATCAGATCACATCAGATCAGTGTCGACGATCTTCAACCCACAACAGCTCAAAGTTAAGCCCTACCGAAGATACACCAGCCCCTTGCCCTTTGCGTCATCACCACTATCATGTCTCGAAACGCCTCGATTCGTCACCCACTGCAAGATCTTCGTAATGACTTCCAGACCGAGCGCAACGAGACCCGCAAGGTCCGACCAACAGATCCATCGCTCTGCATGACGCGCTTCCTCGATTCACTCCATCATCTCAGCAGTCATTTCTTGAGAGCATACCTGCGGCAAGAACGGGACATCACAGTCATACGCAAGGTAGTCGCTTTCAAGAACAAAGACGCCAAAGCTGCGTACTATGAAAGTCATGAACAAAATCGGAAGTGCAACCAGAACTCTCTCTTGCCAGGATCACCAAGCAAAGAGACACATCTCAACACAACCATTGGCACGTTCATCAGAGCGCCCGGTGATCTGAAGCTGGCATTCCTACGGCCCCTGCCCGCTAGTCAAGCCGACGCTGTCGAGCCTCGTACTGCGCTGCTGATGGAGGTGGACGGAAAAGTACTCATCTATGTTGGCAATTATCCCGAGGACGACCTCGACGTCATGGAGTCTGACATATTCGATATATTGAAACCTCTCGCTCAACAGAAACCCGAACTTGAGTTCTACATCAATGGTGGTGATGTGGGGTGGCGCACCGATCACAGAAAATACTCATGGACTTCGGAATA